TAAAAGATACATATTTGGGAGAAATGCACAGAACAGTACCAGGTGGAGCTATGAGAAGAGACACTTCAGAGAGAAGAAACAGTTCCGCTGTGCCTAGAACCAAGAGACATCTGGAGGATGCAGTGAAGGGCAGAGTGAGGTGGATGCTCAGGCATCACCAACCTCTTCCATCAGAGACTCTGCTGTTGACCCAGAGATTTCCCAGTGCCTGTTCTCATAACTGAGGTCCATACACCAGTGGCTTAAAAACGTAATCTTTCCAGTAGGAAGAAAAGAGCTCTCAAAATAATTATTAAAGAGTTGAAGGTGCTAAGGGAAGTTTCAGGTAGAAGGTGGTCAATCATAGTGTCACACACTAAAGAAGAATGAGAATTATAAACAGGTGATCAAGCTGGCAATTTCAAGTTCATCAGTGACCAGTGAGAGACAGTTCAGCAAGATGGTCAGAGATGAAGTTAGACTGCAAGAGTAAGGGGTGGGGAGGACTGAGGGCAGCAGGGGGTGTTCCTTAAAAAGGAATGTGGCAGTTCGGGGATGACAAGAGCTTGAGGGGGTGGACGGCAAAAGAAAGGTTATTTTAGAACAAAAGACCTCGCAGTAGGCCAAGAAATTAAGAAAAATTGGGGTCTTAAAGCCTTGAGAGACACAGAAGACGTAAGAATTAGATGAGATCAACGAAAACTAGATCTTAGAGCGGAGGCATAGGGATCCAAAAAGGGAGTGGTCCTGATACTGAAATTATTCTATCTTACCAATAAGGAAGTCAAGGTGCGAGGAGGCTAAGTAACTTGTCCAAGTCTCAATGACTCAAGTGTGTCTGCTTTTTCGTTTCTAGGAATGAAGAGTAATGTATATGATACAAACACGTACCAAAAGCATCTAGAACCAAAGGAGTTAGGCTGAGACAAGAAACACAAAATCCGAACACAGTGTACAGGTGCTCAAGTGTGTCCAGATGAGCTAAGGAGACAGAAAGGAAGTATGCTGGTGGTAAACTGAGTGTCACCTGTCTCGATCTAAAGGACATTTGTAACCAGGTAAATCATTTGGCTCCTCTCTGCCAATTTCACTTTCAAATTGGAATCTGAAATCGAGATTCACTCAAAGTCTACTGTGGACCATGAATAAGTCAGCAAGACTATAATGTAGCTGCTACAGCAAAAGAAATGAAAAAACAAATTCCTCTGTGAATTCTCTGAATGCATATGAATGAGTGAGAGTGAATGAGGACTGGTGTGAACCAAGGATTCCATATCTAAGCATATAAACATTCTATACCTAAGTATATATCCTTCTCCAGGACCAGGCAGGGAAGTATCAGGGCAAGGAGCAAAAAAATGAAATTAAGTGGTTTTCTTTTCTACTCTCCATCGAAATGAAAAATGTGAGAAGCAAAACGTGCCTCCTCCCTCCTATGTGTCTGTCAGCACATTTCCAGGAGGCCTGGCCACATCCCGGGCACTGGCTGGCTGGGGAACAGAGACTGACGGAGCCCTCGCCTGGGTGGTCTGCTGTTATCCCTTTGATTAAGCTTCCAGGCGGGAAGAGCTGGAGCTGCTCCTAATGATAGCTGGGTCCTGAAATCTCACACGCGCCCGCCGCACAGAGAGGGCCACTGCTCCCTCTGATTCCCTGCCTCCCCTCCTCACCACAGAGCTGGGCTGATTCGCCACATTCTTTTGTGAACTCAGGGCAGTGACCACAGCGGGCTGCTTCTGTGCAGAGCGCTACAGTTATAAAAACACACACGCCTCTCCTAGCACTGAGTGAGGCAGAGATAGTGAGACCTCACACTCAGCTCCACCCCAGCACCCTGCCAGTTACTGCAGTGCTCCCCCACCACAGGTGAGAGATGCTAGTGGAAAACTGCTGTCAGGGAGTACACATTGCTTTCCAGAGGCTCCCATCCTCCCAAGATAACCAGCCTCTCACATGAGACAGGAAAGACCTCAATGTGATCTGCCTTCCATTCAGACATGGAAGGTATTTGTTGAATAATCGTACGTTGAGAATATGTATGTGACCCTAGCTGGTTTGGCTCAGTGGACAGAGCATTGGTCAGCTGACTGAAGGGCCCCAGGTTCAATTCTGGTCAAGGGCATGTACCTTCCAAGGGCATATACCTCCATTACAGGCTGGACCCCTGGCCCTGGTTGGGCACATGTGGGAGGCCACCAATTGATGTCTCTCTCTCACAATGATGATTCTCTCTTTCTGTCTCTCCCCCTCCCTTCCACTCTCTCTAAAAACCATGGAAAAATATCCTTGTGTAAGGATTAACAAAAACAAAACAAAGAACATGTATCTCTTCTAACTTCAAGCATACTTGAGCTGGCACAAATATTCTAAAGTGGCCACTGTGGCTACTCCTTGTGGTCAGGCAAGTTTGATATTCTCACGTGTTCTTGGCCATAAACAAAGTTGTCATAGCAGAAGTAGTAAAAGCAATGACAAGGTAAATGAGGTCCTGTTTTTATATAGATTCCCGAGAACTAGCCTTTAATATAAATTCTGGATAACTCAAAGTTTCATTATCAAGTTTTTGGGTTGTCAGAGTACTTTGCTTCTTTACTTTTGGCTAGTTTACTCTTCCTCTGCATCTTCACCAGTGAGCAGGGAGAGAAAGAGGTGACAATGCCTCATCCATCCTCCTCCCAGCTGCTTGAGGGCTCCAGCTAATGGTCTCTATGGCTCCCAATCAACTCTGAAACGAAGAGTGAGCTCCTGCAAGGAGCATTCAAAGCTCTCCGTGAATCAGCCCTTGTCTTCCCGTCCAGCTTCCATCCTCGCTGGTCCCTGCTGGCTCCCTGTCCTCCAACACCACTAACCAGATTATGAGTTAGTTCATGCTGAGGACTGTCTTCTATCATCCCCACAGATTGGTGCCAAGCCTGGAACACTCTTAAGAACTTAATAAAATGTTTTTGAATGAATAAATTTAAAAAACACATCTGAATAAAAAAATTTTATGGAGAATGCCACTAAAACCTTTTTTTTTTTATCCTCACCCAAGGATATTTTTATTGATTTTAGAGAAAGAGGGAGAGAGAAACATCAATGAGAGAAAAAAAAAACATTGGTTGCCTCCTGCCCCAACTGGGGATTGAACCCGCAACCCACGCATGTGCCTCGACTGGGAATCGTACTCATAACCTTTTGGTGTACAGGACAATACTCCAAATGACTGAGCCACCCAGCCAGGACTGCCACTAAAACTTTAATGGGCTAAATAATTGAAACTGTGGACAAAATAAAATGATTTTCCAGAAAATGGTGCTGTTGTATTTTCCCCAACAACAAAGAACCTGAAGTTGAGAGAAGTTGAGTGAATTTTCCAAAATCACACAACTAGTCAGTGACAGAAGGCAGGTCTGTAGATGGCCAATTCAACTCTATTCCCACCACTCCACCCTGCTTATTGGATACTACAACACCTTCCTCAGCGCTGTTCCACGCTCTAACCAGACTATCACCAAGACTCCAAACGCTGAGACTGACATCTAATGGCAAGTTCAGAGCCCTAAGAAGAGGACTCCGATGGACTTCACTGGCACTGAGATTCTTAGCTGAGGAAGAAGGAGAGGTGAAAAGACAACTTTCTAATTATAATACCCTCACCTAAGACTCCCACAAGATCAGGATCCTGTCATTCTGTAAGACTTGCAATCCACCAAATGACACAAGTGGAAAATATGTAAATGCCAAAGTTGGCTATGTTTCTTTACTACCGTTGCAAAGAAAAATTTTAATGCTTTGGTGCTTCTAGTTGCTCATTTGTAAATTGGAAACATATTCTAGTCAATGAGCCAATGAAAAGATCACTGGCCTCTTTCTCCCTTCCTCATAGCCACTCACATTTCAAAAGTCCTTCCCATTCTACTATGGGCGTGATTGTCCTATCACTAGAATCTAACTCTGCCCATTGTCCTATCACTAGAATCTAACTAACTCTCTTCAGTTCTCAACATTGCCCTTATAAGAGTCCTTGCTTTCTGTTTCACCTTGGGTCTCTTCCTCTTCCTTCCTTCAAACAATTAGAGATTTGAAAAAGAGAATCAATTATATCCTCCCACACTGGGGTGACGCTGAAGTACAGCTAAGGCTTACCTTTCATTTTGGTCCTAAATTTTATACAGAAAAGTAGGGCACCACCAGGGAGCAGTGTGTTGCTTACATTGAATATGTACTTAAAGTACAGCTTCACGTTTTCTAGACTTGATATCATTACAGAGTTGCCACCATTTAAGGAGTTTGACACAACAGAGATAGAGGAAAATATAACTGTAGGGTTAAGTTATGATCATTTTTTTGGAGGACTTTGATGCCATTTTGCTTTTTAAGGAAAAGAGGAAGATATGGGTGCTACTTTCAGTTAAATACCACAGCGAGGAGGGGAAAAAAGAATCCCAAAGTTCTTGAAAGTTTCACCTAATTTTATTGTACTGTAAGCTTGTTATTATCTATCTAACTTAAAGCCAAAACTCTGGTATCTATTTCCAGCCAGCCAGCTTTCCAGATGACCTTCACTACATCATTTCTTTCAGCATCAGTTTCCCTCGCCTGCGAAATGGGGAGAATAACATGTGTTGGAGAAGAGTATACTGAACTACTTCATTAATCAGAACCCATAAAACATCTGAAATCACAAGGTGAAAGATGGTACAATAAAAAAAGAAAAGTAAAAGGTAACGTTATGGTATTCTGGCAAAAAGATTTATAAGACTAGAAAATGTTACCAAATTAAGAAGTTATTTTAAAAGATCCTATAAAATTTATTTTTAAAGATCCACGAATTAAGTACATCAACATCAGTTGCAACTTGAATTTGCAATAACTGTAACAAAAACTCATTTTCTTTCAAGTTGAAGAACTCTTTGGTTCAAAACCAGCTAATACTCATTCAATTGGCATCAGTATACAGAAATAGTAAGGACAGAATACCCTGTCGTTACTCCCGTGTCAGCTCCAAAGAGCCCTCTGGCACCCCAAACCGTGCATACCTGCTGGGTGAGGAGGCTGATGTGAGTGGAGGGCGAGTACTGCCGCGCCGCCTGCTTCTCGGCGAGCCGCTGAAGTTCAGCTGTCACCATGCTCTGGCTGTACCGCCGGCTATATGAAGGAACATCTTCTCCCTCCTTTTGCATTTTGGCTGCTCCTGAATGCTGCTTATTTGGATGGCCTGAACCTGCTAAAAAAATAAAAATAAAAAATAAAAATAAAAGAGAGAGAGAGAGAGAGAGAGAGAGAGAGAGAGAGAGAGAGAGAGAGAGAGAAAAGTGTTTTCTCATGTAAAAATAAAATGAAAACACCTTAGGATGACAGAGAAACCTCAGCCAGATTACTTTACTGACTACATAAGGAGAAGACACTGTCTTCCAATGCTCATAAAAATAAAAATAAATCCTTACTATACCCTAAAAATTCTTAATACTGCCCAATTGTTACATGCATTTATTAATGTGTTTTTATTCTCTGTGATAGCTTCGTAAGAAAGAATTTCATCTTGTGTAGTGGAAATAACCAATCCTAGAATTTACTAATCTGAACAAAAATGTACCCTGGAAACGTATGATTATAATTCTTGATTTTTCTTGTGTGACTGTACTTGCCGTAGTCCATGGCATCCACTGTCAGTCATCCACAATCCTTCTAACAAAGCTCTGAGATCAGAGTTCTGTTAGTTTTGAACAATGAAATTCTGGTGAGAAAGAAATTATTTAATATAAAATCAAGGTTTATATTTTCCCTTTGCTAAAAGTCTCACATATTACTGAAAAAAAATTTAAAAAATCCAAAAGAGAAAAACACTGTAATGTGTTTTCTTTCTGTAATACTAATGCTTCTATAACTGTGATGATCATTCTGTATATATGATTTGGTGACACTGCTTTCAAAAATCTAAATATTCTCATGCTTATTATGGGATACATGTAAAATTATTTATAACAGATGTATAACTCATACAGCAGATTACAGTGAACACCCATGAATTTATTATCAACTCGAGGACCACATCACCAATAAACATGCATCAACCCAGGTGTTCTTCCTGATCCCTTGTCTCCCTTTATCATGTATTCCCTTCCCTTTAAAAAATATAACTTTATATTGGGTATTTATGTATGCATTTGTGTGTACACATACTCAACACCAAGTAATTTTGCTTGTTTTTGAGTTCTACAAAAATATAAACCTTCCTGTAGTGGTTTCCTTGGAGTTGCTTTTGTTATTCATTACAATATGCTTAAGATTAATCCTTTATAAATATAGCTAAAATTTATTAATTTCATCTGCTGCTTGGTATACCATTTTGCAAGTACACTACAAGTTCTTTTTCTGTTCCCCCATTAATGGATATCCTAGTTATTTCAAGCTCATTGCTATTACAGACGGTGCAGCATACATCCTACAAACATCTCCTGGAACATATGTGGAAGAACTCTTGTGTATATGCCTAGGAGTAGCATAGATACCCTCACCTAAGATTTCCATACCTGAAATTAATATTGTATGTCAACTATAATTAAAATAAATTTTAAAAATAAAGTCTAAAGTTAAATGATAAATTAATCTCATTCCCAAACTACTTGATAATCACAGAAAAATTTGACTCCCATCACTAGCAAGTTATTATTGCTATCTACTATATTGTTGCTGACTATTGCTGTTTACTACTATTTAAGCCATTCAGAATATGTTCTTGACTATAGTTGAAAAAAGTTAAAAGCCAATTAGGAAAAGTAGAGAATGCCAATTATATAAAAACTAAATAATGATTATACCTATAATCAATCCATGGGTAAAAGAAGAAATCACAATAGAAATTAGAAAACATTCTGGAACTGACTACTTTCTTCTGTTCCCTATCCCTCTTTGAGAAAAATAGAAAAAGGAAGGTGAAAAAACAAGTTTTGATGAAAACACAGGGTACTGGAGACACTGACATTACTGAATTTCTCACATGAGAGAAAAAAGTTCAAATCAGATTATTAGTATTACTAATTTTAGAAGATTAAAAAAACAATCATCACAGAATTAGCACAGACAGATATTCATATTTATGACTTATTAAAATAACCCATTTAATATTTCTGATTCAAGCCACATATTACAAAATCCATTTCATTTGAAATCAGATACTGATTAAGAAACAAACTAGTGCCCTGGCTGGTGTGCTCAGTGGTTAGAGAGTCAGCCTGTGCACTGAAGGGCCTTGGGTTCAATTCCTGGTCAAGGTTCCATCCTTGTGTCAGAGGCAACCAAAAGATGTGTCTCTCTTAAATCAATGTTTCTCTCTCTCTCGTTTCCCTCCCTTCCACACACTCTTAAAATAAAAAAAAACCCAACAAAACAGTAATGGGAAAAATACCCTCCAGTGAGAATTAACAAAAACGAACAAACAAAAAGGAAACAGACTGGCTATTTATAAAACATAGTTTAGCTGTCACTCACATTAACATGGATATCACTAAAGCATTTCAAAATCTGACTGATGCCGAAACCAGTTTGGCTCAGTGGTAGAGCGTCGGTCTGCAGACTGAAAGGTCCCAGGTTCGATTCCGGTCAAGGGCATGTACATTGGTTGTGGGCACATCCCTAGTAGGGGGTATGCAGGAGGCAGCTGGTCGGTGTTTCTCTCTCATCAACGTTTCTGGCTCTCTATCTCTCTCCCTTTCTCTCTGTAAAAAAATCAATAAAATATATATTTTTAAAAATAAAATAAAATAAAAATAATAAAAAATAAAAATCTGACTGATGTTAGGATTTTCCCCAAACTGATCTGCAGATTAAACTCAATTCCTATTGAAATCCCATCTGTATGGTTTTACAAAAACTAATAAGCTTATTCTAAAGTTTATATGAAAATGCAAGGGATTCAAAAATAGCAATATAAAAAAGAACAAAATTGGAAGAATCACCCTTGGTGATTTCAAAACTTACTACAATGCTACAGACAATATGGTACTGATATAAAAAGATGTATATATCAGTGGAATAGAACTGAAAACCCAGAAATAAACCCTTACACTTTTGAGTAAAGGATTTTTGCTAGGAGTGCCAAAACAATTCATCATGGAAATAATACTCTTTTAACAAATGGAAAGGGACAACTGAATATCCACATGCCAAAAAAAAAAAAAAAAGAAGTTAGACACTCATACCATATCATGCATAAAAATGAACTCAAAATGGATAAAAGATCTACATGTAGCAGCCTATACTATAAAATTCTTAGAGAAACATATATACAGGGTGGGGTAAAAGTAGGTTTACAGTTGTTAGTATGGAAAACAATATAATAATAAATAATAATAATAGAATAAACTATTTCATGTACTCACAACTATAAACCTACTTTTGCCCCACCCTGTATAAATATTTGTAACCCTGGGTTAGGCAATAGTTTTTCAAATGTGATAATAAAAACACAAGCAAGAAAAGAAAAACTAGATAAAGTTCACTAAAATTTAACACTTTTATGCTTCAAGAAAATTGGAAGAATCACCCTTGGTGATTTCAAAACTTACTACAATGCTACAGACAATATGGTACTGACATAAGGACAGATGTATATATCAGTGGAATAGAACTGAAAATCCAGAAATAAACCCTTACATTTTTGAGTGTTTTGAAAACACGGCCAACAGAATAGGAGAAAAATCTTTGTGAATAAAGTATCTAACAAAGGACTTGTACCTAGAATATATAAAGAACACTTACAACTCAACAATAAAAAGACAATATCCCAATTTAAAAATGGGCAAAGTATTTGAATAAGAAGATATACAGATGACCACTACACACATGCAAAGATTCTCAACATCATTAATCACTACGGGAATGCAAATGATGACCACACACACACACACACACACACACACACACACACACACACACAAAAACTACCTCAAAGCTACCAGGATGGGTAAAATAAAAAATACAGATATACCGCCGGCACAGGTTTGGCTCAGTGGATAGAGCGTCGGCTTGGGGACTGAAAGGTCCCGGGTTCGATTCCGGTCAAGGGCATGTACCTTGGTTGCGGGCACATCCCCAGTAGGGGGTGTGCAAGAGGCAGCTGGTCGATGACTCTCTCTCATCAATGTTTCTAACTCTCTGTTCCTCTCTCTTCCTCTCTGTGAAAAATCAATAAAATATATTTTTTTTAAAAAATACAGATATACTAAGTGTTGACAAGAATGTGGAGAAATTGAAACCTTCATACACTGCTGGTGGTAAAATGGTATAGTCCCTCTGGAAATAGTCTGGAAGTTCCTCAAAAAGAACTATAAAGTTACCATGTAACCCAGCAATTCTATACCTAGGCTTATATCCAATAGAACGGGAACATAGGTCCACACAAAAACTTGTACATGAATATTCATAGAAGCATTATTCATGATAGCCAAAAAGTGAAAACAATTGATAACTAGATAAAAAAATGTGGTACATCTATCCCATGGGATATTATTCAACCATAAAAAAAGAAAAAAGAAAAAAGAAAAAAGAAATGAAGTACTAATACCTACTACAATATGGATGAGTCATGAAAACATTATGGTAAGTGAAAGAAGCCATTTATAATACAAAGACCATCAATTGTATAATTCTACTTATATGCAATGTCCAGAATAGGCAAATCTATAGAAATAGAAAGTAGATTAGTGGTTGCAAAGGGCTGGTGGAAGGAAAAAAGGATAGTAACTGCTAATAGGTATGGGATTTCTTTGGGACAAGGAAAATGTTCTAAAACAAACAGTGGTGTTGTAAAACTGTGAATATACTAAAAACCACTGAATTCTACACTCTAAATAGGTGAATTTTTGGTATATTAATTACATGTCAATAAAGCTATTTAATAACGAGGAAAGCCCTGTCCAGTGTGGCTCATTGGGTTGGGCATTTATCCCATGCATCGAAAGGTTGCTGGTTTGATTCCTGGTCAGGGCACAAGCCCGGGTTACGGGTTCCATCCCCAATAGGGGGCATGTTTCTCTTTGTCTCTCCCTTTTCCTTCCTCTCTCTCTAAATATCAATTAAAAATATATATTTTTAAAAAAACACCTAAAAACAAAGAGAACTTGAATGATAAAATGGGTCTACTTCATTTAAAATTAGATACCTAGCCTAGACATCTGTAATAATGTCCACAATAAAAATACAGTTAAAAATAAAATAAAATTAGATATCCTATCTTAAGAATTCTTTGGTTATTTATTCAGGTCACTTTTGACTTTAAATACATTAAAAATTAATACTAATTTGTCTGATGTCAGGAATAATTACTTGAATCAGAAAGAATGCACACAGCACACTCACAGATCTATGATTATCTATGATGGGAAATCTCACTTATATATATGTTATGTATATATACATATATTTATTTTTTTATTTCATGATGGAAGAGAAAGGGAGAGAGAGAAACATCAATGGTGAGAATCACTGATTGGCTGCCTCCTACACTCCCCCTACTGGGGATTGAGCCCACAACCCTGGCATCTGTCCTGACTGGGAATTGACCCGTAAACCTCCTGGTTCATGGGTGGATGCTCAACCACTGAGCCACATTGGCCTGACAGAGAAATATTTTAATTAGACTGTAAGCTCCTACTAAATAGAAGCCCAGTCTTATTCATTTCTTTATCCCAGCACCTAAAAGAAATTGTTTTATTTTGTATCAATGAATGAATGCCATTGGACCAAATGCAAGACTCTTCTTTGATTATACCAGAACATTGCAGCATATCCTTTACCTTTCAACAACAACAAAAAAAAAAAGGCTAAGAGAAAAGGTGATATTCTCTTTTTACTGGGGCTGGGAGGAGCTGCCACTGCAGGCTGCCTTTCGTTTTCTCACTCACCTGCCTTTGCTGAAGAGGGACGAGACAGTTTCTGGCTGTAGATGTGTGCAGCGCTCTGGAAAGAGGAAAAGGGGCCAATGGTGTAACTGCCGGATCGACAGCGTGGCAGGCCAGCGGGGCTTGGTACATTCTGTGTCCCAGGATGTGTGGAGGGAGAAGCACTGTCAGGGGCTGTGCTCAGCAACACTGTTGGCTGGTGAGGCACGCTGGGGATGGCTGGAGGAATCTGAGATAAAGAAGATTGGTGACCAGGCCCTTGAGAGAGGTCAGAGGTTGTAACAATAGATGACAAATGGGTGTTGGGAACTTTCTGCAGAAGAGTAGCAGCAGGACCAGAAAAAGAAGCAGAGGAAGGATTGGTAAAGACTAATTTAGTCTCTTTTTCTGCTGAAGTGGTAAGTCCTATTAAAACAAAAACAAGACAAAACAAAAAAATAGGTCATTTTAAGAAAAACTGGCATATAATCACAATGAAGCATGACATAAACATATTTAAACATCAAAATAATCTTATCATGAAACAGAAATCATGAAAAATACAGACTTTAGTGAGTATTCATCATGAATTTAATAAATTTTGCCTGCAGAGATAACTTGGCAACAGAAAGTTTGCTTTTAGTTCTTTTTCAAAGCTGGAGTTGAGACTAGCTCCATTAACCAGAGCAGAAGTTTTACAAAAGTTAGGGCATCAGACAAAGTTTCTGGTAGTGACAGCTAACACCCTTCTTCTGCTTTCCAACCTTCTAGAAAAGTGCTCAGAATTTCTAAACATTAAAGTGAGAAATCCCTTGGAAGGAAAACAGGTTCTCAGTAGATTAGAGGAAATTCTAAGGGAAAAGGAAGAGCAAAGAAAAGGAACTTCTTTGGGGTAATGTCTCATGTTCTGGAATCATTTAATATCTGAAGACTTGTTTTCCTTTCGTGGATTTATCAGTGAGTAGCAAATCTATGTAGTCTGAAGTCACTCACGAGATAGTTTATCAGAGTGAATTTCTGTTGCCTGTTGCTGTTTGGGCTGCTTTATTTTCACTTCTTCCATTGTCTCAGGGTGATCTAAAATAAAAGATAAATACTGACCTGAGGCTCTTCTACTAATGCTAGGGTGTCGCTACATATAATTTTGTTTACAAAAATATAACACAACTATAAATCAATCCCAGGAACCAATCCTATCTCAACCACTCTTTTCCAAGGATGGCCAGGCCCACTTCTTTGTAGAGTGGGCAACCAACCAAATGATTCCCAATGATCCCCAAGCCCAGCTCCTGCTAACTCAACCAGGAAAAGACATTTAAATCCAAGATAGCGTCCATGGACTGCCAATAGGCTAGGACATGCTCGTAAAAGAAGATAAGGACAGTCAGATGCCTCTGCCAAGAACTCAGGCTATGGGAACAAGAGACCAAGCAGGCTTGTGGTACCCTCTGGAACAAAGAGGTCATAATTTGTATGGAGCAGGGCAACCATCAAGAGATGGAAAGAATAGCCTTGATATTTGCTGGCAGGACACCTAGATATTACAATGGCTCTGTATCTTAAACTCCTTGGCTTTACTTCAATAAGTTAAGTGAGTTTATTTGAGATAGGTTGGTCAGTATATTCAACAACAAAATAAAAACTCTAATAAAATAAATTTCCACTCTAACAAATTAGTGGGTTTTTTTTTTTCTGCCACAGATTACTGAAAAAGGACAGCCAGAACTATTCATATACTTAGGGGAATATTCCATAATCTTTCTCAAGGGCTAAGCTCATTGCAAAACTTACAAAAGGTCATTTTTCAGGTCATCTTTCAGAATGAAAGAATTAGGACACATGAATTCTCCTCTCCATCAGCCATGGCCATACTATCCCACATTTGTGGACTCATGCTTGAAACGAGTCCAGAAATTATCAAATGTCAAAATGGTCTTTCCTTGGTTGAGGCATTCTTTTTGCCACTCTGGTTCTTTTTTTTTTTTTTTTTTTTTTTGCTAATCCTCATCAAAGGATATTTCTCTCCCATTGATTTGTAGAAAGAGTGGAAGGTAGGGGGAAGTGAGAGAGACAGAGAGAGAAATGTCAATGTGAGAGACACATCGATTGATTGCCTCCTGCATGTGTCCCAACCGAGCTATGAGACCTTGACCAGAATCAAACCAGAAACCCTTCAATCCATGGGCCAACACTCTAACCACTGAACTGAACCAGCTAGGGCATCCTCTGGTTACTCTTGATAGGTATAGACAGATATAGATCTTATATAAAGGCAGTCCTTAACACACAAACTCCAGAATTTCCAAGGACTCATTTATACAAATAGGTACATTTTGTTAGGGCTTCCCCATTACTGCCAGGGGAGAGGTTATATTCTGAATTGCAATGGAGGCCCTCATCTACCTGGGTTAACACACTTTTCTTTACCCCAACCTCATTATAAGAACTCCTGAGCCTCTCTTCCCCAACACTTCCACCAACCTTCTTCCTTTATTTATTCCTCCTACTTCATTCGAAGACAATAAATGTTACATAAAATAAAGGACTATGACGGTCCTGGTCATTGCATACCTACAACTATCACAATAATAGATGACACATAACAGATGCTCAATAAAAATATTTAGGAGGAGTGAATGAACAGGTGAATAAACTAGTTTCAGTACTTCAGTAAGTTAAGAAAGCTCAAGTAGAGGACTGAATTCAGAAGGACATTTAGAATAGAATAATTCAGTGATATAATGAGCTAAATAGGCTTTCGTGGACTAGTCTTAGAACCTAAAAGATTTTTAAAATATTAACACTGCTTTTCTGGGGAAAACAAATTCATGTTTTAAATGGCCAATTATCATGGCCATTTCCACATCAGGCTATGGTAGCTTAAAGAACAGGAAAAAGCCGAAATCGGTTTGGCTCAGTGGACACAGTGTCGGTCTGCGGACTGAAAGGTCCCAGGTTCGATTCCGGTCAAAGGCATGTACATTGGTTGCGGGCACATCCCCGATAGGGGGTGTGCAAGAGGCAGCTGGTCGATGTTTCTCTCTCATCGACGTTTCTAGCTCTCTATCTCTCTCCCTTCCTCTCTGTAAAAAAATCAATAAAATATATTAAAAAAAAAAAAAAAAAAAAAAAAAAAACAGGAAAAAGCTCCACCTTTGAATCTGCTATTTAACTCCTTGACAAAAATTAGTTTATTGAGTACTATATCTTACTAGTACACTTCCATCTAAAATTTAAATTTATCTTACATTTAAAGCACAGGGCTCTGTTTAGAACAGAATATCACTGCTACTTTTTAAATCATGTGATGCAACCTGGATACTTTGATCCACATCAATTCCAAAATCCCCAATCATGGAGTGCCCCAACACGGAAAACTTTTAGAAACGTGGAAACATTTTGGGTTACTATTATACAATGACTGAAGAAATTTAATGGAATTCAGAGAAGGGGATTAAGAATATTAAGTCATCACTAGTCCTACACAACAAAGAATTATTCTACCCTAAATGCCAATGATTCTGAGCTGGAGGAAGCAGAAAAAAAAAAAAAAAGGAACAAAAGTGAGAGATCATTAGGAGAGGCAGAGAAACAGATTAAGAGGTCATGCTTTGAGTCAGGCAGGCTAAGGCTCAAACTCCTGCCCCACAGCATGGCGAAGGGCATCCTTGAGCAAGTTACTCAGTCTCTTTTGGCTTCTGTTTTCTCATCTGTAAGGAATTTTATAATAGCACCCACCGTACTCCATATGATTTTTTGAAGTAAAAAAAAATAAGATCATGTCCAGCAGATTATCAGGATCTCTCACTAAATGTTGGCTATTAATTTGTCTTGAAAAGCTCTCTGCTGTTATCATTTAAAAATCAGTTCCTGTCTCTCTTCTGCCTTTAGCACAAAAATGTAATGTAATGCCTTCTTATTTCCCATCTGGCACTGTAAAATGTCACCACCGTGGCATCTATCACTGCTTAGACAGCACATTATTCTTGGCTCTCCTTTGCATATCCTTTTTTTCCACTTGTTCTTATTTTTCATGAATTAACCAACATACTTACCACCCTTTGCTCCGCTATCAGAATAGCTGTTGCTGTTTTTAGAGCCTTTGGAGTGAGTCCCCAGGAAGACGCTCGCAGACTTGTTTTTTTGGGTATAAAAAGTCAACACCTCCTCCAGCTCAGCCTCACTGAAATGAGGAAAGGATGGTCAGAACTGGAAGCTGTTCTGGAAAACTTTCCCACCAGATTTTATTATGAAAATGGAGTAAACTGGAGAATGGGAAAATGAAAAGACAAGCTGAACACTCCTGACTAATAGATGGTTAAGTACAATATAAGTAAAGCAATCTAAAATTTTTAAGCTTTATTCCTTCCACAGTAAATTTTCTAGATCTGCACTTTCCAACATCCACCTGACCAGCAGCCTGTTTCCTATGGCTCCCAATTAAGCATGTCTTTTATATTTTTAAAGAATATGCTCTAAAGACTCCATGCAGCCTTCTTTTCTGGCCCTTTACAGTCCGCCCACCCCACTTCTGGGTAACTGAGGTATACTCACTAAAATAGCCACTTGACATTTGGTCTATGTCAGCACAAAGGAGACCCACCCATCACCATGGAAGAGTTCCCTGACCACCTATATAATGAAGGAGAGCGAACTAGGTGTTCTCTAGGTCACTTCCAATATTGAAATTAAATGCACCTTAGGAATACCCACAAAATGAAAGTATAAGGAAATAGACAAAAGCCCTTAAGATTCTTCCAGTACATATGTTATACACAGATTTTGTAACATCTAGAGCAGCCTCTCAATGGCTTTTTTGCATTTCCCCCCCTGGAGCCTGGCTATGTTCCAGATAAGAAGCCTTCAAATGAGCGAAATATTCCAGCATTCTTTCAAAGAACCTATATCCCGTCTTCAGCACACACTGAAATGACAACCTAAGAAATGGCATCTATGAATTTCAGGGTGAGCCTTAAGGTCTCTGAAGTAGCACAAGATAAAGGCTTGTGTAACTACCAAAGGCCTAGCGCAGAGGCCGCCTCTGCCTGTCAGTGTTTTAGTTGGCTTTCACAGGTTACTGACAGGGAACGGCAAAGGTTGGTCAAAATACAGGCTTGCTTTATACCTCCTATCTTATCCTCTGCCCACTTCATAATTTATGTTTCCCCGCCTGGCTCCTGCAGGAGTTTGAATTCAACAACCCTGACAAAGGCATCCATGTACCACCCAAGCGTAATAAAGCACCTATTCCCACAATTAGTATTTAGTTCGCAATCAGTAGTAAATATACTTTACCTCCAAGTCTATATCCCAACTAATAGTATATATAAAACTCAATTTGACTCCCAAGTGAGGTCTAGTTGTGGAATATACATCACTTGTTTTTTCTTTTCTTTTTTATATTTTAGGGATTTTTAAGATCCCTAGGAGGAACTAGAAATTAAAATTTTTACTTTAAAAGAACCATTTTCTGAACATAATCTAGTGTTTTTCCTTTTCTATTTTTATAATGTTGTTGTGACAAACTGTTCCTTTGTTTCTATACCTGCTTTATCAATCATATTACTCAATACCCAAGAATGTCAACAAAATAACTACAAGATTATGAACTCTTAAAAAATGAAGTGTTTCCTATGTGTTTAAGCACATGACATTGAGGCTATGATTAGGTCTCACAAGGCATTAAACACAGACCATACCATGCTGGTGACTGATAAACCACCACCTGATTTAACTTCACAAATCAACTGAGAGTTGATTTTTCTACTGCTTTTCTCCCTACTGTGTCTTTGATGGTTGAAAACTAATTAGTGGGGTTATACAGATGTTTTATCTTTTATTTAAGTGGTTTTAAAGAAGTCTGTTTTGTTTTAGACAAAAGCTTTTAAGTACAAATTATACACAATATAAATACCTTTGTTACCTCCTCCTTTGGAAACACATTGTAAATGGACAAAATGGCCAGCTAATTTATATGAAGATAGAGAGCCAAATGCTAAAATTTTCAATCCCTAAAGACTAACCCTAAGCATGAAGGACTTGTTCTATTTTATATAAATTAGGCGTAACCCTCACAGTGCTGAGAAACTGCCAATTCCTCAGCCCACTCAATGTAGGCAAAATTTGGTCATCTCTCTGCTTCAGTAGGCCAGGGATAAATTCAGATCCAGTAAACACTAGAAGCCTCTAACTTCAACTTTCCAAAGGGCTCTCTCAGCACTCTGAGTGATGTGTACTTTGAAGGCTGTCTAGAAATACAGCCCAGATAACCAGCAGCAGTGTTATGATAAACTAAACCATGACAACAGCAACATAACTGGCTGAGATATGGAGAGGCCAAGCCTAAGAAACTCTTTTTTTTCCTTCTAAGAGAGATTTTATTCACATCCATATGTTAGGAAGACGGGAATATTGGGAATTCAATGGGGAGTATGGAAGATGAAATAAGACATTTTCAGTTCTTCAAAAATGTCTTCTACCTTGCTTGTTTGATGAACTCCTGAAAATTTTCTGCATTCACCCCATCTTCCTCTTCTTCCTCAAGTTTCTTCTTCGATCTCTTTTCAGCCATCTGTTCTGTTTCCTACCCAGTCCCCAACCCCCACAGAAAAACAACAAGATAAAACTGACTTCTGATAAATGCACATTTCATCATCTGGTTTCACAGCTTAGTAAAGACATTTAATTCCTCTATGGACTTCTGCCACACATCGATATGAGACAATGCTTTCTGCCATTATTTCATGAAACACTGCCATTTCCAAATAAAAATTGCAGAATAAATGTAAATTGTTATTATGTTTTTACTTTCTATTCACAGAGCCCAATGAGAAAAGAGCTTTTCATAGCATTTTACTAACGTCTGTGGCTATACTTACAGCTTCAACAATATAACAGAGACTGCATTTTGTTACAATTAGGGAGAAGAAAAATAGGTCTTTGGAGATATTCCCTATATCAACCAGCACCCAAACTGAATAAATCCTTCGTTTATACAAGACATACCAAAATTCTGAACAGATCTGGAAAAAATCGTGAGCTATGGATTCAGTTATGTTAATGTACTGCCAATCATTCCACGAATCTTTTAAAATGCCATTTAGATTTTCAGGCCTCAGCTTTTCCTTTTGTAAAAAGACCATATGTTTTATAAGGGGGGGAAAAAAAGTATTTCTAAAGCATTCTGAGATCCTTGGATAAAAGATGCTTTACAAAGTAATCTAACCAAATAATATATTTCCTGGGCTTCACTGTAAAATAATGCCACTAGTTAAATGTTCTAGAGAACAAAGTATAACTCTCTCAGGAAAGAAGACTGTATTTATATTAAATCCATAGTTCAAATTAGCTCTGAAATAGTCAATTCACTACTGTCTACAGGCACCATCAAGACAATGCAAATTCACACAGCCCAGGAATTATCTCAGGTGCAACAGTGCTCAAAAGGACTATATCTTGTGATAAGAGTTAACTATGGCCACTGGGGCCTCAGAAGTAATAAATAAGTAGCCTTTCAGCCCACCTAGGTTAAGGAATGAGGCCTTGTTCCCTGTAATGGCCACACATGGGATAATGAAGCCAGAGAAGATAAGAAGGACCTCGCCAGCCAGTGGGACAGAGGCTTCCAGCCTGTTTCTGATAGTGCGCAGCAATCTAAAGCAAAGGCTAACAGTAAACCACCTACCTTGTTGTACACGATGATGAAGTCACCCAGTTGATGGGCCAGGATTCTCCTGCGTTCCAGAAGTGCCAGTCGTCGGCTGGGTAACACCATCCTCAGTGAGTGCTGGAGATTACCTGATGCTCGCTTGAGGAAACGAACCACTAGCTCCTATGAATTAAGAGTCATTGTGGAGGGAAAGCAGGGATTGTGCTAAGCAACAGAAGACAAGCTATCAAGAGATTATACAACAGAGAAGTGAAAAAAGGCAAACTATACATTTCAACAAATAAGCAAACATATTAGGTGTAGGAAGGATACATAAAGTCATAAAAGAAAGGAAATGCATTCTCTTCCCTTAATATGCTGGCAATTGGAAAATCAAAAATCAATAATTATGCAATAAATAGCTGTAAAATTACCATAATTCATATACAAACAATATTATAACAATTTAAAGTGCATATTTCACTTCTAATAGGGTGAACAGAGAAAGCTATTTAGGGAAAGTGGCATTCAAAGATAAGTTGTGGAAACAAAACCATGAGAGAAGATGAAAATATCAAAGGTGAGAAGATAAAGAATACAGAAATAGTCATGCTTAGAGATAAGTGGGGGAAGGGGAGGATCGGAAAAACAACCTAAAAACTTTCAAGATCATACACACAACCCCACGGTAGAAACATCATAAATGTAGAAAGAATCCCAAGAGAAAACAGTGTCATGGAAGTTGAGGGAGGAAAGGGTCCCAGGCCCAAAGCTTCCAAGAGGCTGGAGCTGGAAAGAACCACAAGCGATGGCCCTGGATGGAGCTGTATGAGATAATACCAAAACCATACTTTCAGCAGAGAAAGGGGAACAGAGGGAAAGGGAACAGAGGGAAAGAAAAAGCTGTTACTATGCTTGAAAGGTGATGTGTTTTTTCTGTCCTGAGGATAAGAGAGTCTTTAGAATTAAGGATTGGCAAGCAGGGCACAGTAGAAGGTCATTAAGGGGAAGAAACAATGCATCTCACTTGAATGGAAGAATGGATTCTGAAATTTGAATACACAACAATCAGATCATTCATAACATCATAGATGCTTCAAAGAAAGATTTTGCAAGGCCACACGCCTTAAAGATTGTTGTTCCTTCCCTCCTCTGCCAAATGCAATAAAATTGCCTTAAGATGACAGATGTTGGAACCGTATATTGATGTGCCTTCTGTGAGTTATGTGATAAAGAATCTCTAACTCTAACCTGGATCAGAGAGACAATTCTACACCTACCTTCCTCATAAACAAGACCACTGCCACAATCCTCAGGGAATGGGTGAGGATTTGCTTCCTAGATATATTTTCAAAAATAAATGCACAGAACCGGTATTAAGTTTTGCAGTGATGATCCTAAATATTCTTGTAAAAAGTACTGTAGAAATCCTGTGTGAATTCCAAGCTAATAGTTGAGTGGTTATGCTCTTCTGAGCTATTTTTCTTCTTGGTTTTGTTTTTTTCTATTTGATTTTGGTTCATTGTCCTTTGGTGCCAATTTATTCCAGTATAAAAAAATTGCTTCATAACTAGAGGGTTGGATTTCATAGCTCTACTCTGCTCCCTGTACTATAGGGTGGTTTAAGCTGTTATATTAAAACATTATTTTTTCACAATGGAGCAGACAAACTGACTCTCAAAAAGGCAGTTTCAATTTTCCACTTGGAAACAGCAGAGCTAACATTTTCCACTGATGGCTGAGAGATTATTCACAACACACAGGGTTTTATCTCTGGGTTGCCGTAGCTACTTTAAATTCACAAGTTATTTTCTGAGACAGCCATCATGTTTTTATAATAAGCTGGGCATACTGTATGCCTCTTGAATGTGGACAACTGGACATTACAGTATGGACACCAGTGACTGGACAAAGGATGCAACTTTCTAAGACTCAAAGGTCCCTCTCTTTTTGGTGACACATCCCTGTGGTTAAAATGGCTACGGAAGGGCTGTAGCTTCTTCCATAAACATTGACTTTGCCAAAGAAATTTAAGTTCATTCTTATCCAAAAGGAAAAATCTTGCTAGAATATTAAAATCTAGGCATGTTCAAATGACTGATACACAGTAAAAATTATTACATTTGTTTCCAGTAATCTAAGAATTTTATAAAGTTACAACTAACAAAAAAAAAAAATGTTAAAATGGAGGAAGTTACACTCTCAGAGGGCCTATGATAAAGTGTTAACTTTCAAAGAGCTAACTTGACACCTCAGGACAGAAAAATAAATGCCTATGACTCATGGAAACAATGGAAGAGCAAATAATGTACCACTGTAACTTCCGGGTTCAAGTTCCAGTTTACCACATACAAGCTGTGGGACAGACAACAGACAAGTTATCTTCCTTCTCTAGGTCTTTTGTTTCCTCATCTATAAAATGGGGATGGTAGTGCCTCCCTCAGAGAGTTAATAAAACAAACTTCCTTGAGAAAATATTCTGTTATTCTTTTCGAGGGCTTTGCACAGGACCTGGCATCTACTCAGCAATTTCCATTTTTGGAATGAAATAAATTGATGTCCCCAACACATAAGTATGATGAATATGGCCCCATAAGAAAGATCTACTTCACATTAAAGTAAGAGAAATCTATACACTAGCTCTGAAATCATTCATTGATCAGAAGAACATATTGCTCTTTACCGTAGTAGGAAAAAAAAAAGGGAGGGGAGAGAGAAAGAAAAGAAAAAAAAAAAAGTTCCAGCAGAAGAGCCTCACCATCTGTTCATCTTCCTTGGCAGCCCAACTGGCACTGAACGTTTGACCTCCGCTGTCTTTCATCAGGCGAATTTGGACATGCTGGAGATAGGCAGAGAATGCTATTCGGGCCTGCACTTTGCTATAGAAATCCAAAACAGCACACCGTTATGAGGCAGAATGGTAAGCCTAGCAAATGTGTACTTGCCTCTCTCAAAGTGGCCCTTGAGGCTCCTCTAGAAGGATGGTTAAGAAAAATAAAGCCCATAAACCATATAGTCGCTGAATAAAGGTTCCTTCTAAAACAGTATATGAGATTTTTTTCTATTAAAAGAATTAGAAATGGATAATCCTATTTATTTTCTCATTATTTCCACAAGGGAAACTCAAGCAATAATAGAAAATCAGGTTTCCTACATACATATGTATCTTTGAACTTTTTAAACAACTTCCTTGGGGAATGGACAGGAAAAACATTGATTCTTCACCAGAGCCTTTGTATTAATGTAGAAAAGTTTTTCTGCCTCCAAGGCCCATAAGAACATACTTACCAGTTAGTGCAAAAGTATGGCTTTTGCTATGGCAACTAATATTTCTGGTGTGCAAAAGCCTCCAAAGCAGGAAATAGATAAATCCTACAAAGGAACTTTTGAGACCAAATTTTAAGATCATGCTTTTCTCAACTACGAGACGAGAGTGGCAGAGGCCCAGAGCAAATGAGTGAGGGCCAACAGAGTTTGGCATGGACAGGCTAGGACAAGCCCAGATGTTCAGTGGGAAAGAGAAATCCTCGCATGCAGTACAAAACTCCTCAGCGACATTGCCGAAGAACCCACCTACTGCTGACTGGTGGTCTCGGTAAGAATCCAGGAAATCTGATAAGTACAGTGTGGCAGCCCGAGGAACCAGAGAGACACTGATGATTTTCACTGCGGCGGCTAATTGCAGCAGCTCTGTTTTCTTTCAGGGGAGATTTTGGTTACTTCAGCTGATCGGCCTTCTGACACTCTAGCCAAAATGACATCAGCGAAGCTTGGGGCCCAACACAAACTTTGTTTACAATCCTCACACATGCAATCACTGAGTGCTTTCTACTCACTGTTCCTCCAAGGTTGGGATGAGGGCTCGTCCAGAGTAAACTGGAAATCCCAAGAGGGTCTGTCTAGGTCTAGCTTACATGTGTGTGTTGGAGGGACTGGAAGGGAAGGGAGTCAAGTTGAGGGGTAGATTTGCTTTGGAGAATTTAATACATAAGATCTTCAGAACATGAAATATAAGAAAGGCTACATCTTTGTTATTAATAGGGATAGTCTATGAAAGTATAATATGACTTTGGAAAAAATAAATTTATATTTCCAAGTGTTTCTCAACAAGGACAACAATTATATTCTTGTCCACCTGGGGACCATATGTCACTTTCCCCTCAACCATTCCTATAGCTTTACCTCCACAATAAATTCCTTTCAAATCAAAGTAAATCAATTTTGGTCAACGAATTCACCTGCAATATAATGAACTAGAAATAGCATGTGTCAGACACCTCCAAATTTAGCAGAATACTCAGTTGTATTGATTAGTCTTTTAATGTTAAAACATGAAGATCTTTGGATAAGGGAATTATTGCTTAGAAGTTAAGATTTCAATTATTTTGTTGAAAATCAAATGAACAAGTACTAAGTTTTCTGCCCTTGTTAAAGAGATCAGTAGGATGTTAATCCTGAGTTTGCCCCTAAGGTATTAGATACATTTGTTAGGTAGTCATTTGAAACAAACAAAAAGATAAAAGAATGAAAAAATGATTTACACACACACACACACAAACAAAAAGATAAAAGAATGAAAAAATGATTTACACACACACACACACACACACACACACACACAAAAGCCTATGTGGATCCTCAGTACAAAAAATAGTCCTGGCTCTGGACTACTGTTAACAGCCCCAAAACTTCCCGCTCTACCTTCAGTTTCTCTCCCACAGTGCACTCAGAATTTATTTTCTAAATTAAGATCTGACCACATCATTCATCTGCTTAGAAATTAGCATTTAAAAATCAAGTCCAGGCTCCTCTTTGTCTCATTTCTTACAATATCCTTCTCTCCATGACTTAACTCCACTTCACATGACTTTCCTCCTCATCATCATTCAGGACTCACCTCAAAAGTTACCTCTTTGTGTCCAAACACCAATCTAATGGAACCACACTAACACTAGACCCTGTTTTGTTGTCTTCATAGCACTTCCTACTACTGCCTGAGATTACCCTGCCTCTTTGTCTACTGCCAGCCTTCCCCACTAGAGTAAGCTCCAGGAGCCTGTCTTGGTCTCTCTCCATTGTAATACTATGCAGCCTAGCACAATTCCCAGCACAGAGCAGCTGCTCAGCAAACACCGCTGAAGGACTGAATGAATTTTCTATCACACCTCTGTGTCTTTATTTCTTCTATTAGCATTTCCACACTTAGTTGGTATTTCCCAAACCTCCTGAAATCCTACTCATTATTCAAAGCCTGGTTCAAATATTGCCTCCTCCCTAATGTCTCTCTAGCCTTCCCAAACAAGACTAATCAGTCCTTTCACTGTGTACAAAGAGGACTTAATCCATGTTGGGGTCGTAGCCTCTGCTCTTTAAGTGTCTCCATACTGAATCATGAGCTGCTTGAGCTCCTTGTGTTCTTAGTGCTGACACTAAAACCCAACAAGTATTTGTCCAGCCAATGAAACCTGTATTTGTATCATAGCTTTATATCTTGGACAAGCCACTTCTCTAAGACTCAGTTTCATTAATAATATCATATCACAGTCATTACTTCACAGGGCTACTGTGAATAAGAGATGAAAATGGCTCTAAAGCCACCAGCACGGCACCTGGTACACAATACAAGTTAGCTGTTACCAGTTTTATTATTATAATTAGAAAGGGTACATACCTAAGATTGCCATTCTCTTGCAGAATCTGCATCAGGTTAAATTTAGGCTCTGGTTCCTGAGTATCAATTTTGCAGCACTGTTCGCCTTTATTAGTCCATTCGGAAACTTTCATGGCATTTTCTTTGGGTGAATTTTCTACCGTTGTGCTCAATGAGGACGTGTATTTGGCTTGATTTTCTCCAAGGGACCCTGCAAACTCTTCCTGGGAAGCTTCCGGTTCTTCATCTTCATTTTCTAATATAACTTCTTCCTCCTCTTCACTCTCTGTCTCAGTTTTAACATTCATTTCAGCTTGTTGGGTAATCACTAAATGCGAAGAATCACTAATGTTGCTGAAAAAAGGATTAAAATTTCCTCTCTCCCAATACCTTCCTTTTATCTTTTTAGTAAAAACCCATAACTAACACACAAATTAACAGCATGCACACGTCACTCTCCAATCTTATATATTCTAAAAGCTTAGTAATGACTTTCAGTAGCTGATGTCTCTCATCATCATACCAATGATTCTCTCACAACTTAAGGCAAAATAAGATCTTAGAAATCTCTTATAGTGTGTTAGAGGTTTCTGAAGGGCACCTTTCATGAAGGTACAAAGAGCAGGGAATAGCTTTCTCTCCTAAGTTTATTCTTTATCCTTCACTGCTTTGGAAGGTCTATGGTAACAAGGGCCAAATCTTTTTTATTCACCAATAAAACCCCAGGGACTAATGTGCCTAAACCAGCTGCTTACCAAATGAGGGGAGAAGGGAAAAAAAGAAAGTCAGTCAGTCCATTAGTCAGTGACTGGGAGAGAAAGAAGTTCCACTTTGTCTGTCTGGGTTTAAAATATTTACAGCATTCAACAATGTCAATGAATAAACAGGACTTAATATTTAATCATGACAAAAACAGAACAATAATGCTCAGGCTTCTATTAAACTTAAGATAATGCTATTTCTAAAGTATCAGATATTACTGAATGATGCTGAAATACAAGCAAAAACCTAAATGTGTGTGCTTCTCATGTTCAATACAAATGTTATAGAAGCTTAAAAACATAATAATTTTGAAATTCAGTTTCAGAGAAAAAGGACTATCCAAAAAAACTAAGTATATGTGATCAGGATGGTTCAGGTTCATGGTGTAGTAAGAAGCTTATTAAATGAATCGGGCAGGGCCAGGTACTAGACTTTGGTGAAAGCTCTCCAGCACGTACCTGGGTATTTTGTCCTCGACCTCAATTTCCCACTGCGTCGTCTACGTTTTCGCACTTCCAAAGATAGGAGCTTCCTCTCATACAGAGCAGCATGCAGCCTGGCTTTTGAATTCATACTCTCTACCTTTAATTCCGGTGCACCATCAGTCATTACTCTATGGGGGGAAAAAAGCCTTCAGAAAATTCCCTCCTTTGTTCTAAGGCTAAGCTTGACAGAAATCTGTAATGGTGATAGACTGGGCATGCTCAGTAAGTAACTCTAATGAATTCTAAAAGGTCTGACAGATGAATTGAAATGCTGAAATCTACATTAAAACTTCCCTAATGGCCTGTCTGAATTTTTTAAATATTCTGAACAAAAATATATCTGAAGACAATGTTTAAGTATTTTTAGATATTCAGTAATATTGGCTATTTATTGCAGAGATCAGAAAATGCTACCCAATACTTTATACCTTAAAAACAACTGGGAGATACTGGTAACATTTTAACTCTCAGGCTAGGTGGTGGCTAGAGGTGTTTATTTTGTTAGTCATTATAACTTAGAATTATACAAATATTGTTTTGACTACATCATATTCAATAACTATAGCAGAGGTGAGATGGGGGAGGGACAGCTGATAATTATGAATATGGTAGCACAGAGCTGACTGAGACTCACAGGGGCAGGATCTTGGTAAAGTCACCAGGACCTTATGACACTCCAAATCTCAAGCATTCCTACATGAGGAGTTCCTCCCTTAGGACCTTCTTCATTATGGGAGTAGGTGGGGAGAAGGGGCAGGGGCACTTAAGGTGTTGAGTACAGGTCAGAAGTTAGTCAGAGGCACAGAGAAGGGCAGACACAGATGCAGGACAAGGCCAAATTCAATCAGCTCATGAGTGGGAAATGGGATGTGGAAAGAAGACCACAGCAGCTACATTAGGCATTAAAATAAATCACAAATTAAAGAAGTGACAGGTATCAGATCCAATCCAGACAAGGACCAGGTAAAGTACAAGGCAGCAGGGATAACTAAAGAGAAAGAGGGTTCTCGGTCATTGGGCCAGGAAAGAATTCTCCGTGTTAGTGTCTGAAGGCAGGCAGCTTTGAACTTGCCCTCTTCAACTCTCTAGAAATCAAAGTGGATTCTCTTTGAGGTCAAAGAATCATCTTCATTCCTTTGGAAGCTTTCGGTCTCTGAGTTCGATGAAAAGGCTGTGTCTTTTAGGACTTGGAGGGATTTCTGGGTGGATGAAAAGAATAGTAAATCTTTTGGAAGCCTCCTCCTTAGAGGAGAAAGTTGAGTCAAGAACAGGAAAGGTCCTGACACCAAGGGCAGAAACGGGAAGCAAAATTTAAAAATGGTAGTCCCAACTGAACATTGTTCCACCCTCCCTCGTATACACATACATATATTTGTGAAAATAGACGTTTTAGGCAAGTAATTAATAAAGAAAACAGAACAAATCTGATATTTTAAAGTCTCACTTTAGTCCTCTGCATTAGCCTTTTTACATACAAAGGGATTTTATTTGTTAATATTCTTTTAAGAAATTATGCATCTTGCCAAAATCAGTTTGACTCAGTGGATAGAGCGTCGGTCTAAGGACTGGAAGGTTCCAGGTTCGATTCCGGGCAAGTGCATGTACATTGGTTGCGGGCACATCTCTGGTGTAGGGTGTGCAGGAGGCAGCTGGTCGATGTCTCTCTTTCATCGATGTTTCTAGCTCTCTATCTCTCTCCTCTCCCTTCCTCTCTGTAAAAAAAAATCAATAAAATAAAATTTAAAAAAAAAAAAAGGAAGAAATTATGCATCTAGCCTGGCTATTGTGGTTCAGTGGTTGAGTGTCAACCTATGAACCAGGAGAAATATGTTAATTATTAAATATTTGGAGATTTTTTTTCTATTGTTACTGATATCTAATCTCCTTGTGGTCCAGGAACATACTCTATCTGCCTTTAATCCTTTTAAATATATTCAGATTTGTTTCATGCTACAACATAGGGTCTGTCACACCACCTTTCATTTGCTCATGCCTCTATATCACATAGAAAACCCTATTGATGGCCAAGCCATATAAAATGAGTGGCAAAAAATGAACAAAGGACAGAACTCACTGATTTTTAAATATTCTTGTTGTTTAAGATTTTATCTTTTGTTCTTTTTTGTTTTGTTTTGTTGTTATTTTTCTAATTTCAAAATTGATAGCATATGCTCTAGGAAGCATATTCCTTGACTGAAAACTGGAAAAACTTACAAACTAAGTATGACTTTCATTTAGAAATAAACTACAAACTTGAATTGTTTTCCTTTAATTAAATGGCAGTCATTAGTTTTCCTTTTGAAAAAATATGTTTTTTATTGATTTCAGAGAGGGAGAGATAGAAACATCAATAATGAGAATCAATGATCAGCTATCTCCTGTATGCCCCACACTGGGGATCTAGCCCAAAACCCAGGCTAGTGCCCTGACCAGGAATGGAACCATGACCTCCTGGTTCAACCACTGAACCATGCCAGATAGGCAGTTTTCTCTTAAAAAAAAAAAATTAGATTTATGCTTTAAAAGATTTGAGTGAGAGACCAAGTTTACCTTCATTCTTAAATGTAGAACCAAATGCTAGATATAATAGAACAGCGGTTGCCAACTGATGATCTGTAGACCACTCGTGGTCCATGAGGTCCAAAAGGTTGGTGACCACTGATACAGAATGTTTCTTATTGTTCTCATTTTGCTTTTTAAAAATATATAAAGCAGAGGGGATGAATGTGATGTCTGAAACCAGAGGGTGTGAGTTAGGTTGAAGAGTTTTGCTGGAATTGGAGTCTTCAGTTGGATAAGGCCATCCTCAGCTCTTCCTGTAAGACCTTTCTCTCCTCTGCCAAAGTGAGCAGCCATGGGTATCATGCATATTTTTACTTTCGTAGCAAATTGGAAGTAGTTCTATTCAGTCCCATAAGGTTCAGAGCTGTATGCCCAGGTATGTCAAAGACAAAACTTAACCTCTTATTTGAATCTAGCAGGAATAGTCTTGAAATCTCATTGATATTTTGGTCTCTCTTACATAGCCAAAGAAGAATATTATTATCAGTTGAATGATATACCTGTAGTTATAAGCAAGCACATAAATCTCAAACTTCGTTTGTAAAAAATTGCTACAGAATAATGTTTCGATAGAAAACATTTTCATGTTACTCAAGCTGAGCCAAATTGAAAATGGTTATATGAAATATCATGCATATTTAGTCTGTGCATGATCACATATTACACACATGGAAAAAATTGCTCAACTTTTAAAAATCAGTTACCGTGTTCTTCCTGTCAATATGCTTCTTCTTGGGTTTCCCCTGCAGAAGTAGAAAGGATAAGTGGGTTAGAGCATGCTGCGGATATTCTGAGTTTTCACACACACACACACACACACACACACACACACGCACTTGAAATTTGTATTGTAGAGATTCAACATGAAATTATGCCAGGGAAGACATGTTGAGGGAGCAGAGAGATGACTGAGAACATGCCCAGAAAAGAACAGAGTACCCGGAGCTTGAGGGAGGATAAAAATACAAAAGGGATAGAACAAATGAATTCTAGAGAAAAATCCTAACAATTACTTACAGGTGTATATCTAATCACAAGTCAGAGTCACATTATTCTTCACAACAATCATGTACAGAAGGTTATTAGCCCCATTTCTAAAAAGACCATTTTATGACATGCCCTAGGTCAGAGTTTAATAGGCTTAACTTTGAACCCAGGGCTTAGGTTTCGCACTCCAGTACTCTTTATAACTGAACTATATTAAGAAAAGAAACCAATCTCCATTCCTATGAGGTCCAAAGAGCTGCTCAAGAGAAAGAGATTTTCCACAAATGATGCTTGCTCTCCATCACTTGTTGGGCTCTAACCCGAGGAGGTGAATGCCATTCATGTTAAACTTTTGTTTTTTCCTTTAAAAGATTTTCTCCTCATTCAATTTCCTTTCACCTAACACTCTTTTCTTAAATTTCCCCCATTTTACTTGTACTCATTTGTGAATGTGTATATGTAGCTTAATACAATTTTATCACTGTGCAAGTTCATGTACCCATTTGCCAGGCAAGATACTGAACGATTCCATTACTTTAAGGATCCTGTGTTACTCTTTCATGACAAGACATTGCTTACCTCACCACCTCAGCCTCCCTTTAATCTGTTCTCTATTCTAAAATTATATCATTTCAAAATGTTATATAAATGGAATTACACAATGTGTAACCTTTGATATTGTGTGGGTTTTTAAGACACAAATGCAATCAATATCAAGATTTTCTATCTATAAAAAATCAAGTGAAAAGTTTGTCTTCACCAAAATGTTGTCTTTTCCTTTCCATGTTTTCTATTCATGCTAATGTCCTCATACTGTCTTACTGTCATCAGAAAGTCTCACGATTATTAACTTTCCCATCATATAATGGTTTTTTTCCCCCACAATTTGCAATCATTGCTTTATATTACCATCACTATGCAGTTTTTCAGTAAATACTAGTACTTCAGAGTTTGCGGGTAGGGCCAGGAGATAAACATAAGTGTTATTAATATGAAAGGGTTAAAAATACTATCATAATGTATGAAAGTATTCAGATACTGTTTGCAAGGCAGGGTGGGTAGGTGAGGTAGGAGTAGAAGGCAGGAAAGCGACAAAATTAACCTATAAGAAATGATTAGAGAATTAATATGAAAGTAGTTCTGACAGTAATACAATAGAATCTGCAAGAGGAAAAACATCAATTCAAATAAGAGAGAAGAGACTTATTGGAAGATGTTAGGGCTTGCAATAAATACAATTTCAATTCTTCAATTTTTTCCAAAGCATGTTTTTGTATGTGGAGTAGATTCTTGATACTGACAAAAGATGAACATAACAAAGTACTTACTCATAAAAGTCAACTTATAAAGTAGACAGACTAGTTAGAAAACAAGCAATTATAATATAACTAGATGCCTGGTGCAAAAAATTCATTCGTGTGTGTGTGTGTGTGTGTGTGTGTGTGTGTGTGTGTGTCTCAGCTCCGCCTGCACCCTCTCGAAATCCAGGACCCCTTGGGGGATGTCTGACTGCCTCAGGGGATCGGGCTTAAACTAACAGTCACACATACCTCTCACAATCTGGGACCACTGGCTCCTAACAGCTCTCCTGCCTGCCTCCCTTCCTAATCGCCTCTCACCACTCGCCTGCCTGCCTGATCACCCCTAACTGCCGCTGCCTTAGCCCCCGCTGCTGCGGCTTTGTCCAGAATGATGTCTGGAAGATTGTTTGGCTGTATGATCTAATTAGCATATTATGCTTTATTATTATAAAAATGGGAATTTAAATCAGACTGAGGGATAAAGAACCTCTCCTGGTCTGGGTAAGAGGATGAAGAACATAGAAAAAGAAGTTAGGGATGGACTAAAGGTCATTTCAAGGTACAATGAGTATGAAAATATAAGGAGGCATAAAAAAGCATGCAGATGTGGTCTCCTTGGCCATGGGTTGTGTGGAGAAGTGAAGATTAGACTGAAAAGGCTGTCAAGAGTAGATCATGAGGACCTTTCTTTGCTAAACTGGAAAATTCAGAGGTTTTTTTAATCCAAGTTTTTAGAATGCAGAATGTTACCTGGGGCTTCAAGAAAGAATTCAGGGAGTAAATAGAAAAAATATTAACTGAAGCTTAGCATTACCTTCATATATATGCATGAAACCATCCTCAGTGGTATTACTGTGATTTCATTACCCAAAGAAGTAACATCTTTTTTCATATTACTTTAGAGTTGTTAAGAGGTATCTCAAAATATTGCCAACACTTACCATAGTTTTGAAATTATGGTGGTTAATGTGTTAATTAAAAAGCACATTACATTTCAAATTTTTTAATTTTATGCTACCCTAGCAGAATGTTTCCTAATTTTAGCTGTTGTGGTGCTCTGCCCTCCTCCTCCCTCATGGGAAGCCCAAATATGGAAGGACCTAGATACAAGCCCAGAGTCCACATCAGTACAGAAATACAACCTGTGAGGAAACTTATCCTAAGCAAACAGTCCATTACTTATAAATATGACTGGAAATCAAAGATTATCAAATATAAGGAAATACAACGGTATAAACTAGAAAGAATGACATGAACAAACAGAACTAATCCAGAAGAATTAAATATAATACAAACAGAAAAGAACACTAAACAAACTAAGAATATCAAAGAGCCCTGGCTAGTGTGGGCTCAGTTGGTTGGGCTTAATCTTATGCACAAGGAAGTTGCCAATTAGATTCAAAGTCAAGGCACATGCCCAGTTTGCTGACTTGATCCCTAGAAAGGGGCATGCAGGAGGCAACCAATCAATGGTGCACTCTCCCATCGATGATTCTTTCTCTCTCTCCCTCCCTTACTCTTTCTATAAAAATCAATAAACTACTCTTTAAAAGAAAAAGTCAGAGATGTGAAAAGATATTATAAACTACGAAAACTAGTCAGAAAGCAAAAATAATTATTTGATATTAAATCATATTTGCCAAATTAAAAAAAAATGTGAACAACCCTCTTCTGTGCTGGTCTTAAATAACAAAACAGGTAAGACTGAAGTTGTTAGAGTTTAGATTTATTTAGAATTTTAGAAGACAAAGTTCAAGAAGTCCCAGAATTTAAATCTAAGAGATAATGAGATCAAAATTATGAGAAAAAGTAAAGAACTATGGAGGAAATAGCAAAAGATCCAAAATTCACCTAACAGAAGTTCCACAGGGAGAGAAAAGGCAGGATGAGAGGTACTAGTATTTTTCCTACAGTTGAAAGACTTAAAATCTTCAGACTGAACACACTCATCCACTAAAAACCAAAGTAATGAAAAGTAACACAGATGAACTGTAAAGACAGGGGAGCCTCATAGAAAAATCAAGCTTTTATATTTGCTAAGTAAATCTGAAGATTTCTTTCATTAGAAGTTGCACAGTGTAATTAGTTCATCAATGGTAGTAACCATAAAGTTATACAGAGAAACTGCAAATCCCATATATTTTCTGATAACAGATCATGAAATTGCAAGAAACAGTTGAAATCTGGGTATCTAGTTTAAGAATCCTGCAAACCAATCAATGTGTTTCTCTCACATCCATGTTTCTCTCTCTCTCCCACTGTCCCTAAAAATCAATGGAAAAATGTCCTTGGGTGAGGATTGAAAAAATAAGTCCTGCAAAAAGGACACGTACCCTGAATTGAATATAGGTTTCTCTAAATAACTAAAGTACCTTATTTTGATAGTCAATTACTGAACTGCACTATAATGCAGCTATGTCTCAGGGGCAAGAAAAATATGTGGGACTGAGCGGTCTCTGATTGCTATGCTATTTGAATTCCAAAGTCTGTTTTCCATCATTTCCCCCTATTTTCTCTTGTATTAAGGTTATCAGTTGTCATTTCTTACAACTCTCAGTGTATTTATTTTGTGAATTACCTCCCCTCCACCCTTTCTAATCTGATCATTCTAATCTCTTCTGGTCTGGAAAAACAGATGATCGTGTCTGCTAAAATTGTGTCTAAAAGTAAAAAGGCACTGAATAAGGGCCTTCCTTTAAAAAAGAATAAAGTTTAGGGCATCTGTTAAGTTTGTTTAAAGATCTTTATGGTTTAACTTATAAAATAAAAAGATCTTTAAAATTTACAGATCTTTATGCTTAATCCCATCTAATATTTGTTTTATATTCCAAAACACCGAAGTGCTAGATATTTGGTTAATAGATTAGCAAAAAGGCATATTTGTTAGAGGATAAGCACACATTCCTCACTCTACATAAAGGCAGCTAACCTCTGGAAATTTTACAAAGTGCTGAGAATGAATGAATTCTGGAAAAATGAGCTATTATATTGTATTTTCTGCAAGGCCCTTTCTACCAAAGCGTTTTACACAAAGACTTTTTTTTTTTTAATATATTTTATTGATTTTTTACAGAGAGGAAGGGAGAGAGATAGAGAGTTAGAAACATCGATGAGAGAGAGTCATCGATCAGCTGCCTCTTGCACACCCCCTACTGGAGATATGCCCGCAACCAAGGTACATGCCCTTGACCGGAATCGAACCTGAGACCTTTCAGTCCCCAAGCCGACGCTCTATCCATTGAGCCAAACCGGTTTCGGCTACACAAAGACTTTTATAGAGCCTTTTTTTTTTTTTTGCCTTTCACTATATGTTCTATTCCCTAATTTTGTGATCTAGTCCTACCAAATTTATAAGAATACCAAATCCCCACCTGTCCGGGAAGAGACGTGTTGCCAGCATATAGTTCATGGAGGTTTTATGTTCAAGGTAGGACCTGAAAGACAAAGAAAGAAACTGGTTATTTCTTAAACTTATTGAAAATAGAAAATATAGAAATAAAACCAGGAATCAAGTACAGAAGTAGCAGGTTACTAATGTACTGTTTCTAAACCGGCAAAAGAGGAGGCAGTTGCTCAAATAAAATAATAAAATAGCCCAGACTGCATGGCTCAGTGTTGAGAGTCGACTTATGAACCAGGAGGTCATGGTTCAATTTCCAGTCAGGCACATGCCTGGATGGCAGGCTTGATTCCCAATGTGGGCTGTGCAGGAGGCAACTGATCAATTATTCTCTCTCATCATTAATGTTTCTATCTCTCCCTCTCCCTTCCTCTCTGAAATCAACAAAAATATTTTTTAAATGATAAAATACTAGAGTAGCAGCAAATACAATAAAAGGAATAGAGGGCTTAGTCTAGAAAATAAGAAATGAATGCAGGATTTTTGGGGTTACTAAAGGTGATATATTAAATTCAGAAAATAAAACTGAAAATGAAAACAAAACCACCACCAAAAAAAATCGTATCTAGCTGAGGGAAAAAGTCAAATGAAGTTGGAAATGGGGGAAGCAAAAACATGAAAATGTGGATGGAAGATTGTTTCAATCAAGAAATTCCTCAAGAGTTTTCAATAGCTCCTTGATGCCTATTGCTGGAGGCATACACTTACTCTTCCAAGTTTTCAAAAGTTGGATAATCTATACCACACTTTGTCCACACAGTTCCCCAACATGGATCCTGCAGTAGAGCCAGGCAAGTCTCCTTAAGATCCTCTCACACCACACCTCCCACTGATCCTTTTGCCTCTGTCTGGAAAAATTCATAACCTATCCTCCACAAGTAACTCAAGTCCACCCTGCTGCAGGGAGCCTTCTTGATATGACTACAGAGGTGCCTTTGTCTGAACTACTCTGCCCTTTAAGGTATATCTGAGGGACCTGTCATATGCTGTCTCAGAGAGTAAGGTTGTTCTTCTCAGAAAGCAGCATGACGAAGTAGGACAAAGTAGAATCTGGAGTCAGAATCCCTGAATCAAGGCCCACTGTGAGATCACAAACAAGTCACATTACTTTACTGAGCCTTACTTGCCTCATCATTAAAATGAGAAAAAACAATGATGTGCTTAAGTACATTATAATTACATAGAACTACAAAAATCTGAGCTATTTTTTATTTTATATATACAGAATTTCTCCATAATCTTACTGTTATTTCTCAAAGAGCAGGGTTCCCATATAATATTTGTTTTATATTCCCAAAGTAACAGGCAAATATTAATACTTGGTTAATACTCAATAAATATATGTATCAATAAAAATTTGAACAACAGGACTTCACTGAAATTTAAAACTTTCTGTTCTTTAAAAGCCACTGTTACAAGAGCAAAAAAGCTAGCCACAGAATTGAAGAAAATATTCACAATATAAATATCTGAGAAAGGGCTTGTATCAAAAGTCCTTCATAACACAGTAACAAAAAGATTAAAATCCACCCTAGCTAGTTAGGCTCATGGGATAGAGCATCAGCCTGGAAACTGAAGGACCCCGGGTTAGATTCTGGTCAAGGGCACATGCCCAGGTTGTGGTCTCCATCTCCAGTGGGGATATGCAGGAGGCAGCTGATCAATGATTCTCTGTCATCATTGATGCCTCTATCTCTCTCTCCCTCTCCCTTCCTCTCTGAAATAAATATATATTTTAAAAAGAGATAAAAATCCTAATTTTAAAATAGAAAAATATGATACACAAATGGTCAACAGAATATGAATGCTCAATATCATTATCCATAAAAGAATAAGTTAAAACCATAGAGATATGCTACTACTAGAGTGCCTAAAAGTAAAAGCCTGACAATAACAAGTGCTACCAAAGATGGGGAATCACTAGATTTATACTGTTATTTAAACATACATTTATACTGGTAAAATGGTACTATTACCCTTTATCCCTTATCAAATGACCTACCTATTCCATTCCTATGTATTTATCTAAAAGAAACATAACAATACATCCTTAAAGGGACTTGTACATGAATGTCATAGCAGCTTTCTCTATGATAACCCCAAAATGGATACAACCCAAATGCTCTAGAACAGCTCAAAGGATAAACAAATTGTGGTATATTCATATATTGAAACAGTACATAACAATAAAAAAAAACATAACTATTACTATTACTATTACTTTAAACAACATGAATAAATCTCAAAAATCTGCACCAAACAAAAGCATCCTGACACCAAAGAGCACATACTGTATGATTCCATTTATATGAAATTCTAGAAAAACTAGAGCGACATACAGCAGATCGGCAGAGGTCTGAGACTGGAGGTAATGGGGGACTGACTATTAAGAGGTAGAGGGAACTTCTGGAAGTGACAGAAATGTTCTATATCTTGATTGTGGTAATGGCGGTGGTTTAACTTGTGTTTATATTTGTTAAAATTGATTGTCAAACTGCACATTTAAAATGGATGCATTTTATTGCATGTATACCAGATCTCAATGATTAAAAATAAACAATATATTTCTTAAGCACACATATAAATGATAAAACATTTTTTTTTTCCAAATCAAGGTAATGATAAGCATAAAACCTATGAGTGTCCAATCCTGAGTTAGGAGAGAGGCAGGGGATTTAAAAAAAAAAAAAAAAAGAGGAGTAATGCACACGTAGATGAAATTATTGTTAATGCTCTAATGTTTGGGCTGATGGTATTCATACTCTTATAAATAAACAAACAAAATAAGAAAAGCACCATGAGGGGAGCAATGATGACACTGTGTCACAATTAATCCAATTGTGTAGACTTAAGATATAGATTTTTTTTTTTTTTTAAAAAGGGCAGTCACCTCACCCGTATATTTCCCATGTCTCTGATGTAGGGAATATCCGAATAAATCCACCTCTCCGATCATTTTCTTCCTTCACCCTCCGCAAAACTCTGATCTACATGGAGGAAAATAAAATAAAATTATTATCTATTTTGAAAACTGGAATTCATGTGGTTATAGGAGAGAAGAAAGGAGTTATGATCCAAAATTTGAAAGAAGCAAGAGGGAGAAATTAATTACATTTAAGATGCTGTTTTCTGGGGGGGAAGGGGGGGGGCTTCTTGAATCTTATATTTTTCAGTATAAGATAGGAGCTGGTCATGAATATTATGAGTAACTCACTAATTTTCTCTGAACCACAAAAGCCTGAAACAGAGTTATCTCACCTCCTCCATTGACAGACCAAGCACAGAACCACCTAGTTTCGCCGGCACCTTCTCCCGGGCTGAGCCCACAAGGTTTTTCATCTCTGCATCACTGGCAGAGAGTGGACGGGAACGCTAAAAAGAAAGAAAAACAAAAGCAAACGAAAAAAGCATTTTATTACCTTTCTTCATTTCCCTCTATTCAGTTCCTCAACATCATTATCTTTCCGAATATGTGTAAGCTCAAATCCAAAGCCCATTTTCAAACCCTGGGAAAGAGATGAAAGCTAGTATACTCAAAGGCAAGAAGAGAAAACAGAAGAATAGGAAAATACTATGGGTTAGGAGAGATAAGTAGGAAAAAAAGGATGTGCATGTGTCTTTCTAAGCTAGTACTCCTAATCTTGTTTTAGAATACATTTAATATTTTCAAGAATATGGAAAAAGTCTGGGGAAAACCTCAGTATAAAATTAAGTGTGCATTTATTTCAGTAACTATACTCTTTTCAGCACGGGGGAAAAAGAATTAGAACTGAGACATAAGACAGGAAACCAAGGAGCAAATGTCACAGATGAAAAAGCTGGGTGGTGGGATGCTTTAGCACTTAAAGGGGAAAATAATGAGATTAGAGCCAGGAGAGACTCATAAAAGAACTCTGACAGAAAGAGTACAACTTGAGGAATACTCAGGTTGCTGGACTTTGAGAGACCTCAATCCCGGACGACTGCTCTGAGCATTCTGCAAGAGCAAGTAAATGTGCCATGCTCACCACAGACCCCCCAAAATGATCTGTACTATTTCCCCTTCTGAAAGATGACTAGGAATGTCATCTGAGAACAAAAGTTTTAAGTGACTTTGATGTTAAGTGAACAGAAAAATATAAAATGGGAAGTCAGATGGTATAAAGCATGAGAATAGATTATTGAAACAGATGAAAATACATAAGACGAATCTGCCAAGTAGGGAAAATATGAAATAATTCAAGAAATGTGGGTGTAAATTGGCTTTCAGAATTCATAGAAGTAACTTTGTCCAAAGAGAAGAATCCCGTTTGTCAGAAGCTATTCCTGCATTTATTTTTCTCTTTGTATAGACTATGAAAAGGCATTTTGGTAACTAACTTTTGACCTTTTTAGCAATACTCACTGTTATGGACTGAATTTTGTGTCCCTTCAAATTCATATGTTGAAGCCTAATAACTGCTGAGAAACTCAAACACAGCCCAATATTCAATGTGAAAACGTTTGTAATACTAACCTACTGACAACTATCTATCTATCTATCTATCTATCTATCTATCTATCTATCTATCTATCTATCTATATAAAAGCCTAATATGCAAATTGTCCCCTCAGGAGTTCTACTGGGAGTTTGATCACTTGCTATGACGTGCACTAACCACTAGGGGGCAGCACAGAACTAAGGAAGGCCCTGGCCAGCTGCCAGCAACTGGGGAAGGGAGGCCCCAGCCCACAGCTGGAAGGCCCTGGTTGGCCCTGATCACCAGCCAGGCTTAGGGACCCTACCATGCACGAATTTCTTGCACCGGGCCTCTAGTATATTTCAGAAGATGACTGAACAAAAGAAAGGTTATCTGTGAATTATGATATTTCCTTTCTGGAATAGTTTAATTAAAGTGATAGATATGCCTCTAAACACTGTTCATCATTTAAATTCAGCTGCCTCCATCACAGCATAATCACTATCAGAAAAAGAGGATTCATACATTCCTGCAACCTCTACTCCTAAATTCTATATCCAAAAGACCTCTGTGCATTCATTTTCACATATTCTATTTTATATTAAACTGTTCAAAGAGTAGATGCATAAAATATGTACTATGAAAAAGTAAAGCTAAAAGGCTTTCCGTTTGGCAAAAGGAGATGAAAATTTGAATGAAGTCTCCAAATGATCCAGAACTTACCTATTTAGTGTTTGATGATTGAAATTGTGCAGACACTGTATGCTATAAAAGATAGAAAAATGGAATAAAGCCTTATCTTCTCCTAACATGCCTGTATTTTTCAACTCCTACTCTATGTTTTAAAAAAACAAAAAGATGATCTCTATTCAAAAACCAAAAGCAAGAGACCTACACTCTGTGCCTGGAAAACGAGAATAATATTTTTCACACTGCTTCTCTACCGTATAGCTATTCCAGTTTTACCTTCTCACCACTGAAGTCAAAATCCTGCTGTCCTGTGCTGAAGTTCTGAAGTTAATTCCCCATCCTGATAATTGTGTTTCACACAGGGTACAAAACATACCCTAGTCGATAGTTTCTTTAGTCTTTAATAAATGTCCTGTGGGCTGCTTATGGATGGGATTAGGCCATTATCTACCAGGTAGCAAAACAAATGGTGACAAATTCTCTATGATTTGCAAAGAGTCACCAATAGAAGTTGAAAGACAAACTAAGAAAAAGATCAATTCATCCAGGATTGACATACGGCCCCTAGAGTGAAACTTGGCAGAAACTCTGCTAAAGCTGTACATAAACATTCACAATCCTTCCTACAATCCTGTGGCTCTTGCCACAGACACTGCAGAAAACCATTTACAAAGGAATGTGACTGTCTAAATTCAGTTTTCCTAATACACCTAGGTTAATCCTCTACTTTTTCTTATTAAAAATTAAAGAAAACCCTTTGATCTGTGATGATGTACTGATCAAGTACAACCCTGTTATCTGGTTTTACTTGTAATCCAAGGAAATTCCCCTTAAAATATAGCACACTCTGTTCCATGTCACAACACTCTTTACAGCAGGAGATCTCAGGTAGGCAACCCAGACTGAATCTAGTGCAAAGGCATGTTACGTTTGGTCTACAAATACTTTTTTTTTTAATTGAACTAGTTGCGAATATTCTAAAATAAGATTTCTGATTCCTTTTGACAGTAGGAAAATCTGACAACATTTGGCCCACACTCATAGATGGCAACGATTAGCTGAGCACACAGTAAAATAGGTGTTCCTTTTTATAGGAGGCATACACTCTCCAGTCTCCTGCAGTCACATCACTCTTACTTCTCTCATACCTGGCCCTATTTCCTCATTTCCACTGTCTGCCTTAGACCCTGTAGGCATTTGAGTTTGCAAATCCCATTCGAATAAAAAGTTCTGTATGAATGCAGCAAAGAGAAACAGCATTACTCCAAGTAAGACTAGCAAGCAAATGGAAGAGGAGGAAGAGGAGTGAGAGGAGAAGGAAGGAAAGAAGGATTAATGGAAGGTACAGTGGAGGTGGGGGAAAGAGAAAGGAGAAGAAGGGGGAGAAGAAGCTGTTTCTGCCTTCAGAGAGCTTAACAATCCAGCAGATGAGTACGGGACAATTTAAAAGCAACAAACCAATGAATGCAAAACAATGCAACAGACAACAAGTAAATGATATGAAATGAGCAGGTGAGATAATCCAGATGGGAAGAGAGGAGGAATGTGGACCTTTTAGGTAAGAAATGTTAAAGACAAAAAACAAGTGGAAACTAGCAAGGTCTAGATAGGCAGAGACTGCTTAGAATAGATGGTGGCATGGATAGAGTGATTAGCTGACTGGTTAACTGGAATAAAAACACCAGGACTGGAGCAACACTTGATCAAATGACGTTTCAGATATGCACAGGTTTCCATAGGCATTTTATCTCACTGAAAACTCAGCCAACACCTCACCACCACTGAGGATCCTTCTGAATAGAATCACTTGTAGGATTGATGATATTTCAATTGAGCATCTTTATGAAGCTAGTCTGAAGATCAGAAAAAATGAGACACAGTAATGACCAAGAATTTGTAGGCTCCCTCTCTGTGCCTTATTTGTGAGCATATCAATTTGAGGGGGGAAAAGAGGGCAATTTTTAAAAGGGTGAGGGGGGGGAAGGAAAGATAATGGAAAAAGAAGCCAAAAGAAAAGGCAAGAAGCAGATAGTAAGTTTATTTGAAAGCATAAGCTAGTAGCCACAGATGAATGTCACTGCCTCCAGTCTAGCATATCCCCAAATTCTGCTCTGAGTGACCTCATATCCATGGAGCCTTGGCTCACTCATTTACATCGCCTGCCAATATCTAGGAAGCCTCCTTAGGGCACCTTGGTGCTGAATTTGCTTACCTGAGATTTTTGGAAAGGGTTTCGCCTGGAAGACTCAAAGGTGGGATAAATTGGCCGGGTTGATGCCCGCTGGGTAGGATCTTGGCACACAAATCCTGAATGGAGAATGGGAAACATTAAAACTTGCCATTTTCTAAGAAATCAGCTGGTTGAGCTGCACCTTATTTTATGATGCACTCAGTGTATCATAAAAAATATGAGAATATTACAGAGATCCGTTCTCACAAGGATTAGACATGACTCTCCCACATACACATTCTGCTTGAACTTTGAGCCACCATAGCTGGAGAGAACAAGAGAGGAAAATACACAGCTACATCAACCTTCCTCATTGGGGAGCTGAAACGTGACTCTGATGGAAAAGAGGTGTGCAGTTTTGATGAGCTTCAGCATGAAGGTGCAAACCACCATTGAAAAACACACAGTTGTTAATACAAACAAATTATTTTAAAGTGACTTCCTGGATGGTGTCTGGAAAATAATGTTTTTACCGGGAGAATCCAGAAGAGAAGTGAGGAGTCTTGTCCAGTTGCAGGATCCACTTCTAGAACTGCTGAAGGTGTTCTACTGGCAACTTTCAAAATGAGCTTTGCAGGGGGATAAATGGTGATGGAAGGAGACTTGATTTGGGGTTGTGAACACACAATATTCAGATGATGTGTTATAGACTTGTAACCCGAAACCTACATGATTTTATTAACCTATGTTACCCCAATAAATTCATTTAAAAAAAATCAATAACAAAAAAGAGCTTGGTAGCCTTTCCATGGCTTAAGAGATTAGGCTTGGACTAATTTCACTTGTATCATAAAAGGAATCAGATTCCCATCCAAGGAGAACAGAGTACCTAAGTTTTATAGCTTTTGCTGGTACACCAAGTGCTAGTTCATTTCAAATATATATATATATCTATATCTATATATATATATATATATAGATAGATAGATATAGATATATATATATATAGATATATATATTTGAAATATATAAAAAACTTAAAAAACAACAGCAAACCAACAACCTATACACCTGAATGCCCATCTCCATTTCAAAGTTTGGGTTTATCTACTCAAAAAGGGATTTTTGCCGCGAACTGCTTCCGTTATAACTACTAGTTCTTCAGTTATAACTGCCGCAGCTCATGTTGACACCAGCAGGGACTGTCCAGCAGAAATACAGCCAGTCTCCTTTGAACCAAAGCTTCTTCAGTGGGTCTCACTGCCCCAGCTCAGAGAAAAATATTCTTTCTCCAAACCTTTGCTTAATTCTCTTCCTCAGCTCATAATTCCTGTGCCCAGGAATTAGGTCTCAGCCCTAGTTGTGGTTCAACCTCAGGACAGGATGGAGCCAGGGGGAGCAGAACACATAAACACTTCCCTGAAAATATAATTTTTTGGTACAAGACATCCAGCATGGCTTAAGAACTGCCAATTGGCAACACCTATGTGCCTGAAAACATGGACGCTGTGGATAACTTTTATGTGCGATTTCAGAAAACACCACTACTCACCTACAACAGTGAACATATCTGAAATCATACTGGCTTTAATCTTTAGGTCCAGAGGGGCATCACTAACAGAAAAAAGAAAGAAAAGAGCAATCGATAATTTTATAGGTTAACATAATAGCTGCTCCTAACGGGCCCCAACATAGCAAAGCTTCCAAATGTTGATGAGCAGCAACACAAAGCACATCCAATCTGTGGAAAAAGAAAAAGAAATCTGGCAAAAGTACTAGAAATAAAAGCTTGATGTTAAACTCATCCTCCGACAGGCAGGCCAAGCACCAAGGCGTTGATTCCCTGACATGCAATCTTTTCAGTCCAGAAGGTCTTGTGCAATTCAAATTTTGCACAAATCAAGAATACTGCTTCATTATCACTGTGGACTTTAGAGGTTCAGACTTTTTTAGGAGGTGCCCACCACTGAAATTATTTTTTTCTGATGCAATAGTCAAATCACATTTGCATGCAAGAGAAGAAACTTTGGCTCTCTCTAGACTTTTTTTAAGTTAATTTTCTTAAGCTTACAGGCTTGCAAATGTGGGCAAAATAAATACAAATTATACCAAAATATGACCAAATGATGCAGCAGGAGTCCACGTGGAAACAGAAACAGCACAGACTGAAAGCTGAAGGCCTTTGTGAGGCGGTGCCTCCATGATGGCTGTGCTGCCGAAGTGTTTCTCCATGAGCCAGATCACTCATTCTGGGGGCCTCTAACACATTTGATGTCCCGCTGACACTGTATGTGCTGGGCGAGCTGATAAAAGCTGACTGGCTCGAAGTGTAGCACCACATCTGAAGCATCTGCAGTATCTAGCTCCACACCTTACTCTTGGGATTAAGCCAAACTCCCACTCCACAAATATCTGTCTTCATTTGATTCCTTGGCATGTTGCCAACGTTGCTCATCCTTAAAAATGCAGGAGCTGGGTGGTCTCTGAAATAAATCTCCAGGGTTCCTTAGTTGTTTGGAGAAGTATATAGCAAATAGAAACTCTGGCTGTTGCTACAGATATAAGCAGTGTCTTCTCTAGTATTAAAAAAAAAAATGTTTCTTTCCTTCTTCTGAATAACAGATTAAAAATTATTGGAAATGTTTAGACTTAAATTTTTGGTGATTACCAGGACAAAAGGACCAGCTGTTATCTACCCTTCTCCAGGCCCAGCTCTATATCTTTATAGTTTATGTGGATTTGAGTCTGTATAAGCCTTTATAATAAAGGAAATACAATACCACATCTATTTCTTTAGCCTTAGCAGAATACCTATAAAGTTAAAGAGAGAGAATTGGAGGTAAAAATGTAAAAATGAATGCAAGAAGCATCCCTTAAAAATCCAGTAAGAAAGTAAACATAGAGCACAAATTGACTAGTAGGATAGGGTCCATGGCTGTCAAATGGACTTTGACAACATACCACAAATCTTCCAAATTTAGAAATTCTAGACATCTCCATCTAGTAACTAAGGAAAGAAATCTTCTAGTACCAAGAGAAATGACAAAAAATGAAAAATAAACTGTGTTTAAGTGCTATTCACCGGAGGGTTCTCCTTTGCTAGTGGATAGAACAGGCTACTTACCAAGCCAAAGAAGGAGAGAGATTCACTTCCAACAACCATGGCTTCAGAGTAGAATCTATGAGCACGTCAAAGCCATAGAGTTCTAGAAATACAACAACACAATACACAAGATCAGTTTCCATGTCACAACCAAACAAAGATCTGGAAGATTCAAGCCAACCAATTCCCATCAGAGGCCTAGAAACTTGTTGAGTATCAGTAGAAAGAGGAAGCAGCAGCAGAGAATCTTTCAAGTTCAAGAGAAATTAACCAAGCTCTAGAGATAATAAGAAAACAATGCTATAAAAACAAAAACAAAAAACCCATTGTTTTACCATCTGCTCTATTGACCTCCTGACTCTAGAGGTTAATAGCATGATTCTGCTGTGCCATAGGCAAAAAAATTGGAAAGAGGAATGCCCCAAGTGCATCCAATATCAATGCTGCTTTGGACTTGTTCTGAGTTGTCGGCCACCACTTCTCCATTACACTCTGAACACAGAAAAGTCTATTGGAGGCCTCTCTCTAGGATTCTTCTATCACATTTTCTTAAACCAAGATATTGCTTTTGCAACCTAGTCAAGAAGACGTCTAAATGTAAAATGCTTTTATTCTCTCCCCTTCCCTATGGTTTCATTTTCCTTTTGAAGTTAGAAAATAACCCAGAAAGACTGAAAGACAGAAGAGAAAGGACAGAGCCGGTGGCAGTAAAGCAGGACTGTGACAGCCCTCCTGCACTTCCTTGAGGGGATAGGAATCACATTTCCATGGCTCTGGATTCTTTTTTTTTTCTTTTTTAAAAATATATTTTATTGACTTTTTTTTTTTTTTTTAACAGAGAGGAAGGGAGAGGAATAGATAGTTAGAAACATCAATGAGAGAGAAACATCAAATCAGCTGCCTCCTGCACACCTCCTACTGGGGATGTGCCTGCAACCAAGGTACATGCCCTTGACTGGAATCGAACCTGGGACTCTTGAGTCCACAGGCCGACGCTCTATCCACTGAGCAAAACCAGTCAGGGCCATGGCTCTGGATTCTTTACAGATTCTCTTCCTTAACTCCCCAATTGTTGCAAAAAGCAGAGCAAGAACCATGAGCAGCCTTTCCTCCCAGAATGCAGGAATGAGGCTAACTTTGTAACTTCAGTTGACAACCTTTATTTTCATTATTATTATTATTACTGAGACTCTCTCCACAGTCCTCCTTGATATACATACATAGAATATATCAAATTTTCAAAAGTCACACTCATTCCCAAATATTCTAATCCTCAAATAAATGGTTTATATCTTCTGACCAGGAGAAAACACTAGCTTCTGTACAGTTCAACCAGAGGTCACAGACCACAGCTCATACTCACAAAACACTACTTATATTTTCCAGATACTTATTTTGAAACAAACTTCTTTATTATAAGAAGAATTTTCCCATCTCTCAAGCAACTAAAAAACATAGGCTTTTACAAAAGATGGTGCCAGTGACTCTCTTCTAGAAGATAGGAAATCTGATGTGATACCAAGAATCCTAGAATCCAGATCCCTGAATCCTCCTCATAACTCTACCATTGACTCACTGTGAAACTTGGGGAAACCATTTCTCTTTCCGGTATTTCTTCAGCATCCTTTGGTTTATGCTCTCACCATTTGTCAATATCTGTATGCTCAGTAAACCTAAATCCTATTAAATATGCATTCAGGTAGACATTTATGTTCAGATTTTCTCTTGGGAAAATTTTCTATGAGTGAGTTTGTTTCCCTAGTACTTATTTAGGATTCCATTTAATTTGCAAAAGTAATCACAAACTCTAAGAGCATGTGAGTTGGGTTTCACCTTCATATAACTACACAAAAATCATTTTATCTATACTTTAAAATATAAAGAAACAGAGGGTCCTTCACCTATCTTCTTTTGGTAATATATTATAGCTTCAAAGCTAAAGGGCCAGTACATTCTTCTGAATAGTCTTCTAACCTGCAGAATATTCTCCTTTTAATGTGAGAAAAGTCTTTTGTGGTATAGCATTAAATATGATATTTAAAAGGAAAAACAATTTACCATTACAACAAAAAAATTAAAATACCTAGGAATAAATTTAACCAAGGAAATAAATGACCTATACTCAGAAAATTACAGGATGCTGAAAAAAGAGATAGAGGAAGACATAAACAAATGGAAGAATATATCATGTTCATGGATTGGCATACTCATCATCATTAAAATGTCCACACTACCCAAAGCAATCTATAGATTCAATGCAATCCCCATTAAAATATCAATGGCATATTTCAAAAGATGTAAAACAAACTCTCCAAATATTTTTCTGGAATAAAAAAAAGAAAAGACCCAGAATAGCCACACAATCCTGAGAAAGAAGAACAAAGTTGGAGGGATCACAATAGCAGATAACAAGCTATACTACAAAGCCACTGTTCTCAAAATTGCCTGGTACTGGCACAAAAATAGACATAGAGACCAATGGAACAGAATAGAAAACCCACAATAGCCCCAAACCATTATGCTCAATTAATATTTGACAAAGGAGGCAAGAGCACACAATGGAGTCAAGACAGACTCTTCAAAAAATGATTTTGGGAAAATTGGACAGATACATGCAAAAAATTAGAACACCAACTTATACCATTCACAAAACTAAACTCAAAAAAGGATAAAGGACTTAAATATAAGACGGGAAACCATAAAAATCTTAGAAGAAGCCATGGGCAGCAAAATAGCAGCATTTGTCGTAGCAATATCTTTACTGATATAGCTCCTAGGGCAATGGAAACTGAGAAAATAAACAAATGAAACTACATCAAAATAAAAAGCTTCTGCACAGCAAAAGAAATCATCAATAAAACATCAAGAAAGCCCACTGCATGGTAAAACATATTTGTCAATGTTATCTCTGATAAGGGCTTAATCACCAAAATTTATAGGGAACTTAACAAAAGGAAGATAAACAATCGAATCAAAAAATGGGCAAAGGACCTAAATAGACAGTTTTCAAAAAGAGGACATACAGAAAGCCAAGAGACATATGATTCCACACCTGTCAGAATGGCTATCATCAACAAATCAATAAACTACAAGTGCCGGAGAGGATGTGGAGAAAAATGAACCCTCATACATTGCTGGTCGGAATGTAGACTGGTGCACCCACTGTGGAAAACAGTATGGAATTTCCTCAAAAAACTAAAAATGGAATTTCCATTTGATCCAGTAATCCCACTTATAGGACTATATTCCAATTCCAATATGTGGACCAATCAGAAAGGATATATGCACCTCTATGTTCATAGCAGCACAATTTACAATAGCTAAGATTTGGAAATAGCCTAAGCGCACATCAGCAGATGAGTGGGTTAGAAAACTGTTGTACATCTACACAATGGAATACTATGCTGATGTAAAAAAAAAAATAATAATTCTTATCATTTGCAACAGCATGGATGGATGTGGGAAGCATTATGCTAAGTGAAATAAGTCAGTCAGAGAAAGATAAATATCACATGATCTCACTCATATGTGGAATATAATGAACAACATAAACTGATGAGCAAAAACAGAACCAGAGTCACTGAAGCACTGAACAGACTGTCCAACCTATGAGGGGAGGAAGGGAAGTGAGGGGTAGAGATCAACCAAAGAACTTATATGCATACATATGAGCATAACCAATGGACACAGATGGTGGGGGGAGGGTAGGACAGTATGTGCTGGGAGGTAGGGACAGCTGGGGAGAAAAAAAAGATGTATGTAATACTTTTAACAATAGACATTTTTTTAAATAATAAACAATAAAAGGAAAAACCTAACTGCAAAATACCTTAATTAATAAAGAAATTTAAAAAACAAAAAACAAAATCTATAAGTCCAAATTAGTATCATAAAAGCAAGAGAATAGAATGTGATTTTCATTCAAGAAAAATAACATTCTCTTCAGATTTTAGAAGCTGAAACACAGGATTCAACTGTTTCATAAAGTAGTAATATTATCAATAATAATAGTTTAAGGAACAGTGTGAGAATAATGATTGGTCCACATATTGATCAGATTTGCAGAATCAATCACAAATGAAATCAAACTGAAATCAGAATAACAATGAGACCCACTATTTCAACACCTAATATTAAACAGCCAACACATTCACTTAACTATATTCCAAATTAAGAGGCAAATTCCAAGAATCTCAATTGAAAGGCTGGGAACAAACACTCTGGAAAAGGAAAAAATATAACCCATAGAAAGCAAGCATCCTTTGCAGTGACAACTTAATTTTTACTTGGGTGAATAAAACCCATCAATCTCATAACAACCTCATAATCAGCTTTGAATCTAACTACATCTTGTTCATGCACCAGGTTGGATCTACTATCATTTAAGAGTGGGATAAGTTAGCCAATCTCTGTGGCTCAGTTATTGAGCATCGACCTATGAGCCAGGTGGTCATGGTTGGATTCTCCATCAGGGCACATTCCCTGGGGTTGGGGGCTTGATCCCTAGCAGGGGGCAGCAGGAAGCAGCCCACTGATGTTTATAGCTCTCTATCCCTTTCTCTTCCTCTCTCTCTCTCTCTTTCTCTTTCTCTCTCTCTCTCTCTCTCTGAAATCAATAAAAACATATTTTTTAAAAAGCGTGTGATAAGTCCCTGGAAGCAATACAAACATGGTGCAAAGCCCAGCTCACCTAAGAAGCTGGAATTGGGGAAAAGAAATGGGGTGAAAAGACAGCATTTGTATCAAGCTTATCTCTTAAAATAATTGGCTCATCTTAAAAATAATAATTTGAGTCATTTACAGGCTACTAATCTTGATAAGTTTTTAACTTATGATTGGTCTTTTCTGTGGACACTAAAGATTTTAAAAGGTAAGAAGCAGGTTGTAATGAGAATATTAAACTTCCTCACCTTTTAATGCTGTGTGTTTTAGCTGCAGTGTCTAGAATTTCAAAACTTCAGATTCCAGGATGACATCTCCCAGTGTTCCTTCCTGTCATTAAGAGGTACAGGCAAGCTGGGCTTTCCCAGTTTCTGAGCTACTTTCTCTGTTCCTCTGTGTTGCCTTCATCATGACAGGAGAGCAAGTAGTTTCAAAAGATTG